TTCGGAGAGAAGGATCAAGTTGATAGAGACACCGAAGTAGGTCGTCACAGCGAGGGCAAAGAGGAAGGCAAAGGCAGATTGCAACAGAACAGCAGTAGCCAGCCAGAAGTTGGAACCCAGTCGCCTCATGGCGAGGAAGAGGGACACGAACGTCAGGTGCATGGCAAGGTATCCCATAGCCATGATGACAATATCACCAGTGTCGGCATTCTGGAGGTCAAGTTAGCAGAGTGCGCATTCGCCATGCGGGGGACGAAGAAATAGACGTACCTTGAGAAGGTCAACGAATGAGGTCCAAGAGTCGACGATCCAGTTGCGCATTCCTGAGGGGGCATTGCCGTTCTTGGAGGCACGCATCATCCACTTCTTCTGCTCGCGGGAACCTTCCTGCGCAGGGCTCTGGGCTTGGGTGACATCCTCTGGTGCGGGGATCTCTTGCATGGCCTCGAGGAATTTGGCAGCCTCGTCGTATGGCATGGCGTATGCGAGCGAGGTGTCGTCAGAAAGAGTGGAGAAGGGGCTGTAGGAGCTGGGAAGGAGCTGTGCAGACACATTCTGAGGGACAGATTGTTGCGAGGGGGCCAAGTTGAGGGTGCTGGACGAGGGGAAGACGAGGGTGACAAGGGCGAGTTCCTGTGCAGGCGAACATGTAAGCTCATGAGGTTTGGAGAGATGTGAGTGAGTGGGACATACCTGAGCGTTGTCGGCAGCACTACCTCTGGCGTCCGAGGCCTCCCACTGCCATGATGTTTCTTCTCCAACCCTCAGTGTCTTACTGCCCGCCAAAAGGGACTGGAAGTCGACATTCTTGGAGACATCGTCGACGCCACTCTCCAAGAGTCCCTTGTCCAAGACGCCGAGGTACGAGTAGCTGGCGAGGAAGGCAATGGTGACAATGGTATGGATGGGATGCGTGCATGCCTTCTTGGCTACCGAGAGCAGGACGGGGGACAGGTGACGGTCGAACCAGGTTGGGACAGTCTTTTGCTGGTCGCCCGTCGCCTGCCAGCGGCTGGCGAGTGATCCTAGCATTGTGGGCGTCTACCTGAGCGTGATCGAGGCGTGGAGGGGTTCCGGGGAATTGTTCGCATATGTACAGACACACGTACGGGTCGGTGGCTGTGCGGGGCTTATCCCCAGTGAGCGCCGATTACGAAGCAAGGCGGCGGAGACAATGGTTACTGTATGCGAGGTTATCTGCACAAAGCGTCTCGTGGCGTGCGTCGGAGACCGAAGCAGTTGTTTGTGAAGCGACTGCGCCCAGCCCTTTGAGTATTATGTCTAACCCCGGCAAGTATGGGGAGTGCTGCGATGCGACCAAAGACAAAGAAAAGCAAACTGCAGCTCGGAACAGAAGAAATTATTAGGGTGGAGTGAGCGAGAGGGGAGGGGAGGTAGGTGCTCGTGCGTAGGAAGAGTACATATGTACAGTACGTACAGAAGACGAAATGGGCTATCGGGGGGAATTGTTGGACGGCGCCCCTTAGCCAGGGTGCGCAGTGTGCATACCCCCCGTCCCACGACTTTTTTGACAGCGCTAAAAAGCACCGACAACACTCTCACCGCGCTTTGATCATACAAGACGGGCCTTGATTTGACACGCAAATACGCCTAACATGAGCAGATGCTCCTTTGGGGCATGCGGCACTTGGCCAGCTCATCGTCTACTTTGTGACCAGCATGCTAGCCCTGCCTGTCTGCAAAGTCTCCGATCCTGCGCCTTGGCAGAGGATAAAGAAAAATGGCCGACTTCACCGCCACACGCTGAGCGCCACACAAACGAAGCGCCACACGCAGGGTGGCGCTGCGTCGCCACACACGTGGCTGAAATTTCATCTGCCGGCTGATCTTCAGGGGAAAGACTGCGCGAGCGCCCCGTTGGCTGCCACCACCACGCCCACGATAAGGCTGCAGGCGCCGACTGGCAGAGCGTCCGCTTTCGGCCAAATACCGACTCTACCTGCGTACCTCCTACTGTGTAGTACACGTGAAAGCTATAACGACAATACGTGTGTAGGGCCTCGCGGCTATGAGCTCTACTGGTTCTACAGTCTAATCTAGCACTATGTACCGCCGCTTTGTGGCATCCTTAGTCAATACCACCAAACACACAGGGAATCCTGGCCGAAGTCACGAATGCTGCATTTGTCAAATTTCCATGTCAAAACAACTGCGTATGCCCAACATAGTACCGTTTCCATGGTTATTCTAAACAGCCACTACGACCCTTCTACCGCAAACTTGTCTAGTTCTCACAGAATCCGAGCTATCTACGGTCTACATTCTTTTCAGGCCGTGTGAAACTGCTTCATCGATACTTGTCAGAGATTTGGCCGAAAGAAGCAAGCACAACCGTGGTGAGAAGGATTTTAGATGGGGAAAAGCTTGTCTGCTTTTGGTAGTAAGTACGGTGCTGACCAATTTGGGCATATTCCGAACTGGCCGCAAAACTCACCCATTGTGTACACCAGAGCTGGCTCCCTGCTGCACGCCTGAAAGTATAGTACATAAGTACATCAATAAGTACATATGTTCCGTTTTAAGTACGTGACAAACCGCAGTGAACGCAGGCCTTGTCCAGGTAAGTATACCCGACGGCGAACCAAACCGTCGCAACCTCTTCTGCTTACTCGCCAACCATCCTAGCCGTCGTAGGTCCATTGTCATGTGTAGTGCGCTTCAGACAGACGGCGTCTGGCCACCAAACTTGGCTGTCATGGGTACATCGTCATTTGTAATGTGCTTCAGAAAGGCCGCGTCCGGCTTGTAGAGCATCACGTGAAAGTGCTCCACTGCATGCACGCTCTTCAGGCTCTTCCAGTTCTTGAACCACACCACCTCCTTGACCTTGGACGCAAACGTCTTTTGCACGTAGTCTTCAATCTGCTTCTTGGATGCTTCCGTACACCAGCCCGTCTCGGGGTCGTCTTCGAGCTCAAATTTGGTCCAGACGACGAGATGGACAATCTCTGGATCGATGCCATACGGCCAGTCGTTGTACAGGATCTTGATGTCCTCTGAACACGGTTAGACAGCGGTAGCAGCCAAGCGAATAGGGCACCCCGTCGTACCATCAAACTCGAATGGTTCGCCTCGGGGTTCCATGGTGTCCCACTTGAGACGCTCGTTGACTATGAAGTTCATGATGCCGCCATAATCCTTCTCGAGCTTATAGGTAAACTGCCGATAGCGGCGCAGCTCGCTCGGCAGGCGATGGAACTTGTCGACACGGTTGCTCTCTGGCGGGGGCCGTTAGCATCTCGCCTATCGGGTGTGAATCAATAACCGTACGGACAATCTCCCGCACCTGGTCCCATGCCAATACTTTGTACTCGCCGTCCGGCATCCCAATGATTGCCTTATCCTTGTCGCTGCAATTCTTTAGGAAGTCCGGGCACTCGCTCGGCCACTGGTCCTTTGGCACATTGACCAGCCAAAAGGGCAAGCCTTCGTGTCCCATGTTCGCGTCACGCTGATGACGCGGATCAACCCCAGAAAATGTTCAGAGTATAGTAATTAAACTGGAAATGTGACGAGATTGTGTGTGTGTGTATGTATGTAAGTATATACAAGGTTATATCGGCCAGGCTTGGGGATGGAGGAGAAGCCCAACAGGATGCGCGAGCCCAAAAGGAAAGTTGAACGACGCGTAGGATGTACGTAGTAAGTAGGGGACCCGCGCTTGGGCTTACTACGGTGAGCCATCCACCACTGCTGCAGACCTGCCAGCCATGGGATGTTTTGCGTCTAGCCTACTGTTTCAAAACGCGGCATGCGTTGGGGAAGCCATCGGCAGTTGAAGCGCACGTGGACCGCGTCATCTTTCTTTTGACTTTTTTTGTCTTTGCAACTGGCGAAGAGGTGCGACGATGGATGAGAAGAGCAAAGGGAACACAGGCCCAATATGTACATACGCACGTAACTGCACCATGTACAATCCTCTGCTGCCGACTCAAAACTGAAGAGCCGCACCACTGCACGCGACGGATGCAATCGTCTCACTTGGCCCTCCCAATCATAGCCATGTCTCCCCATCACGGACGCATCGCCAGCAATCTCCCGCGTCTTAACGTCGTGTGTTATGCGTCGGGTCTGCCTGGGGCCCCCAAGGGACCGTGCTACCTTCCATTGGTTACACCCCAACCCGCCCGAAACGCACGACAGCCAGCACCCCTCTCGCACCTATAGTGACCATACCGAACATCTGTTTTAACACCCGGCCATACAGTGTCTAGACAACCCAAGTTACATCATAATGGTCAGATGCGGCCAAAGGCCCGTCCATTGTTGTTTGAGCGCATCTCAGCAGCCCGTCTGGCAGGGTCTTCATCATGGCAATACTAACCCCCCAGATCCCCCAATCGCCTTCAGTCATATCTTCTCTTCATCCATTTTCCCTTTCAACCTACGCCTTACCCTTTTCTTAATCACCCCAGACTACCGACTGTTGTTTTCTTTTTTCTTCGCCTATTCTTCATCCAAATTACTTTTACTCTGTGGACCATTGCGGTTGTCACGTTCCGTTGGTGACTCCGTTTCACGTTACACTATCCTAGGATCCCTAGTCCAGTCGCCTTCTCCACAGATTATTTCGCATGTCACAGTGCAACATTCCACAGTGGACGCCCTGTGTTTCTATTTGTCCCTCTCCCGCTATTTGACGAGGGGCGTGTGTCTTTGAAATCGACGATATATACACCCACTTCCGCTCTCCCGGCGCATGGCTCGCACCTTGCTGTTTGGCAAAAAAACAAAAAACACGACTCCCATCGCTACACATCTTCGGATTGGGCACTACACCTAATCCAGGTTTCACCAACATCTCCAAACTTGAATAAGATTTTCCACCACAAACCATCGACCATAGTGTCACTGTCGCATGCTCGATACACATCGAAACTTGTCACTTCACTCGTTTGCCTTGGCTCGCCTCTCTTCACGATATATATCCTATCACCCATCACGGCACCACTCCGAATGCCCACCGCCGAGCCTTCACCATGATCCGCGATCCCCAATTCTGGAAACGCTTCAGCACAGCCGTACACCAAGATGATTTGGAGAAGCAACTCATGACGGCCCAAAGCCCAAAGCACCCGTACGTGGCAAGCAGTTCTTCTTTTACCCCTGTACCATTGTCTCTCGGGTCCCCCCTATCACAACTACACTTTCCAATGTCCTCACCGGGCCAACCACCAATGGTCCACCTGGCCTCGCTCTCCGGCTCCACCATAACAAGCCCACTCTCGCCCCTCTCCGCCGAAATCTCCTTCTCAGACCCTGACGACACCGCCAAATACCCCGCAAAAGACAAACGAAAGAGCAAAGCCCTCCGCCGTTCAACCCTCCAAAAAACTCCCTCGACAAAACCTCTCCTCCGCCCAAACTTCACCGGCTCAAACATAAAACTCCCACCCACCTCTACCTCTCCGTCTTCAATACTATCATCCCCAACATCAACAATCTGCTCCCCGGACCCCTCCCCCCTCGACCCTCCCCCCCGCATCCACCACCGCACCTCCTCCCCCTCCTCCCCCTTCCGCCCTTTCTTCCGCGCCCCAAACATCTCCGCCCTCTCCCTCTCCCTCAGCGGTCGCCCTTCCTCGCGCTTCAAATTCGTAACTACCATCACGGCTGACGCCTCACACAGAGACTCGTGGCTTGTGCGGCAGAAGCGGAAAGAGCGCCATCGCACGTGGATTTGCTGGGCTTTTTGGATCGGAATGCTACTGCTTGTTGCCGCGGTTGTTACGACGGTACTGGTGCTCAAGTCTCGGGGGATTATTTGAGAGTGTTGAGGGGTTTTGAGGGGGGGGCGGAGAGGGGGGTGGTTCGACATCCTCCCCGCCTCTCTGGTTTTCTCTTCTGGCTAAATCTTTTTGTTTTCGGTGCTTTTTTTTCTTTTGCGTTGTACGAACATGAATAAAGAGCGGGGAGCGCGGAGTTCTTCTTTTCTTCCCGGAATGGTCCGGAACGGGGTATTCGGCGTCTTTTTCGAGGATATAAGAACTTTGGGGCAAAGGGAGGAGGTCCGGTGTTTTGCTCCTCTTTTTTTTGGGGAGAAGGGGCTGGAGTGTTCGAAACTGGCTGGGCTGGTCCTTTTGCAACTGGACATCTGGCATGCCGAGCATTGAGTCTATGTGGTTCTTCCTTTTCTTTGTACATGATACCAGGTCTTTGTTTGATATGACCATGAATTTACCGATTTTTAGTTTGTTTTGCTCTCATAGTCTTTTTCTTACCATATACCTCGTGTGCAATCTGTATATTTATGTGTGACTCTGCTACCTGTGAATCCGATATAAGCATGGTTAAAAATGACAAGCAAGTGACTTGGAAAAAGATACATTACATCTCTCGTCTTCCAAACTGAATTCGTATACTACAAAGATGCATGTTTTTTGAGTGACAGAACAACGCAATGCCCGATGATGGTATCAAAGTCCAACGTCTCCCGAAGAAAATTGCGCGGGCATGTCTTAACGCCAGAAACTCCTAGTAATCCCTACATGCACTCTTAATCGCCACCTTCTCAGCAACCGTCAGAAGCCCCCCCTCTTCTTCCCACTCAAAACCTGTTCTTAGCAGCAGTGGCGGGCGGTGTAGGACTCCTGCTCATACTCCTGGCATCGCGGCCGCGCTCCTTAAGCCACTTTCGCGTGCACATGTCTAGCTCCCTGTCCAACTCAGGAGACGGTTCCTTGCGATGAATGAAATTGCAAAAGCCGCCGCGCACACAGCCCTCACCGCTATTCAGTCGACAACACGCTTCGCGGAAATCGGTAACGGGCGAGAGTTCGCAGTAGATAGGGCGACCAGCGTACCAACGACTGTTGAGGGCATCGCAGGCTTTTTGGGCATCCTCTTCGTACTTGAAACGTACGTAGACGTTGCCAATCAGATCTAGTTCAATAAAGTTAGCATAAAGTCACCATGCATAGATGGGGGAAAGGGTGCAGGGAACGTACGGTCATTGTTGTTGTCGCAAACAACGAGCTCCTCTACCAGCCCGTACTGGCACAGCTCACACCAAATGTCCTCGTAAAAGGCATCAAAGTGCATCTGCATCTGCTGCGCATTCATCTTGTTCTTGGGGTCGTATGCCGGGTTCTGGTACAGGTTGGGCAGCAGGATCGTCTGCGAGTACGATGGCTTGACATGTTTTCGCGAGCAGCGGTCGCCGTGACGGCAGGCACCGATCTTGTAGTAGAAAGAACAGTTGACCTTGTCCTGCTCGGTTCCGAAGATGGAGGCGAGGTAGTTGGCCATGTTTGCGGGTGTTGCGCGTGCGTGTCGCTATGGGGTATGGTGTTTTGATGACGACGATCGGAAAACGTGTGCGTGTCGGAATGTAGATGTCAATGTCGATCGGCCGATGGAGCAGGGACGATGGAGATGGTGAGGTTGTCGCGCGGACGGTGTAAAATGTCGCGATGCGCGCGAAGCTCGCCGGAGCGGACGCTAGCGGATGACAAAGCTAGTGGAATGCCAAGGAATGGTCGAGAACGCGTGAGGTGAGATGCTTCTTTCCTCTTTGCCACCCACTTCAACTTTCATGACACTGATTTTAAATCTTTATAAATATTATTCTTTATACCAGAACACCTGTAAGAACCTCGTATCACGTGACTCGGAGGGCCTTAGGGCCCATTTTCCAGTTCTGGAATTGTAGTTGCAATCAAATCGTGTAATCCATTCTCATGCCATGCATGACTTGCCTTCTCCTCACACTCCAAAGTCCTTGCCAACCTCCCTTCCAACTGCCTTCAAATTCTCAACAAGCCACAACTGCTGATTACTAAAGATGAGCATAGCCCCTGGCAAGAACGCAAAATTGTTGCTAGTAACTCCAATCCAAATCTTGCCAATCAAAGCACCAGCTGGATTCCATACATTTATGCCATCGCCACAGCCTGCCCACAAGTTGCCTTCGGTATCTGTGTGCAGTCCATCAGCGATCCCAGTATCCACATATGCAAACGTGCGTCTGCCTGCCAAAGACTTGTTGTCATCGATAACATCGAATGCATAGACTGTAGAAGGACGTGTAAGGTCTGTATCGTTTTGGTAAACCCCAGAGTCAGATACATATAGCGTCATGTAATCTGGGCTGAATTCGAGTCCATTTGGCTGGAAGAAGTCACCTGCGACAGCTTCGATCGCGCCCGTTGAAGGGGAGAAACGATACACGTGCTTGGGGAGGTTGGGCGGTGGGCGGAAACCTTTATAGTAGCCATAATCGGTGTCGGTGAACCAGATGTCGCCGGTAACAGGGTGTTGTCGCACGTCATTCAAGCCGCTGAAATTTCGCCCAAGAAAGTTTGTGAGAATGCGGGTTGAGGAGCCGGAAACAGGATCTACGCTGACAAGGCCAGCGGGATTGATAAGGTCGCCTTGGTCGCAGTATAGTATGTATGGTGGCGTGGATGAGTTGGCTTGTGTGCCTGGAGGATAGTACGCTGTTCCCCCGTTGGGTTCAGACAGAAAGGGGTATTTGATTGAAGAGATGGAGTAGTTGTTTGCTAGGTCGATGGTGGTTACGTTGATGGGTTTGGACAGGTCACCCGCCCAGTCGCTTGTTACATAAATCTTTTGGGTATCTTTGCTGTATACTCCTGCTTCATGGAAAGCAGAGTAATCTAGGTTGTACAACTGTCGTGCCGTCGCATTTCCCCCAAGTATGGAAGCAAAGCTGGAATTATAAGAGAGGAATTCAATCGTGGTTGGATTCGAGGCATTGGTCGAAACGATGCTGTTTAGGTACAAGGGGTTTGTCGCAAAGGACAGTAGATCAACGGGAATAATGCTCGACATGATGGAAACGACAGAGATTGAGAGAATAAATCCGGAAAACACTTGCTCCCATGGTCCAAAATCTTTCGACGCATGCACATATACTAGTAGCTGCATGAGGCTGCTGATCCCATCGCAGGGTGCCATGGCAGATGGAAGTATTGCATCACCAGTCCCCACCCTTTGACCTTGATTGCTTAGCCAACAGCGCTACTGCTTGCATAGAACGAATTGTTTGGCTGTAGGATTTGAGTGTGACTGATCCCTGATTCGGACTGTGCAGCCATGATTCATGTATGGTTGTCGAATCCGGTCAAGTTGACGGCGTGTGCCTGGTGCCTGAGGGTCATGTACCTCGGGGCGGCTCATGCGATGGTGTTGATCCCGATACATGCATTAGCTCCTTCATCAAGTTAACCAGCGATGCAGGAGCAGTTGGTCAGGCATCAAGCTTATAGCTATGGTTACTGTACTATCTTTGCCTACAACCTTCACTGTTAGTGTGTGCTGTTCCATCCAGCCATTGTTTGTTTCCTCAAGGACTTCAGCGTGTGAGCACTACTACGTCACTGCGGGGGAATAGAGGTAGGATTGCCGAGGGCATGCATGAGAGTAACCATAAACGTTTGTTTTGTTGCATGAAAAGTATTGATCGTAATACACAGCGGACTGGAAAAACTGATCGATATCTGCACGCACATGCCACACATGTCAGTGTCCGGTAATAGAGCAAGACTAATCAAGGTTTGGCTACTTTGCGTTCATGTACCTGAACGAACACGCATTCTCTGTTTCTTCAGGAAAACGCCATTCTGCGTATTATGCACGGCCACCTATAGTTTGTCCCGCACGAACGTGCTTGCGGGATTGGGGAGCCGTGTAGTACTATGTCATGGGGGTCAGTTGTCGAAGTGGGCGCATGTCAGCTTGGGATCCACTGGGCACACCAGACACGATGAACAGAATAGTAGGCGGGCTTCGAGTAGCCATACGTGACAGGTAAGAACAGCACTGCCAGAATAGAGATTATTTGAAAAATGAGCGCAGTTATGAGTAATACCCTAACTCGCACAGTGTCTATGCGTGAAGAAATTGATATCATGTCTACATATAGCAGAGTTCCCGCTATATAGCCCGACCCGCTAGTTCTTCAGTGTCCGGGTTCCCGACAAATGAATTTCGGCGGGTTGGCGGGCATTGTCGCGACGGCGAACACGCGTTTCCTGGGGTGCGGGATGACATAATGAGGCTTCACGAACACACAGAGCAAAGTCTATATACCTTGGTCGTGCTGACGCAGACGTGCTGAAACTTCGACGCCATCTTTATTCAAATCCAACCGCCAGTCATGGACCCTCTTCTCGCTGCCGCAGAAACCGCTGTTGCAGACCTAGCCAGAACACCCTCCCCGCCAAATACCCCTCCATCTGCCGCAACGCTTCCACCGAGCCGCCTATGGGCCATCGGCGACATCCACCTCTCCTTCAAAGGTAACCGTGAAGCCCTGGAAAAGCTTGTTCCCCATCCGCACGATGACTTGATCCTCTGCGGTGATGTCGGAGAGACGGCTGAGCACTGTCGCATGGCTTTCACCAAAGCCAAGGAATGCTTCAAGGACGTTTTTTGGGTGCCGGGCAATCACGAGCTATACACTTTGCCTGCAAACAAGGAAAACGGCGCAAGAGGCGAGGCAAAATACATGGAGTGTGTGGAGATTGCTCGCGAATTTGGCATTTTCACGCCCGAGGATGACTACGTGCTGTGGCAGGGCGAGGGAGGGCCATGTCTGATTGCGCCCATTTTCACGCTGTACGACTACAGCTTTCGCCCAGATTCGGTAAAACTACAAGATGCGCTCGCGTGGGCAAGAGAACAAGACATTGAAGCGACCGACGAACACCTACTGCATCCAGACCCCTACTCGTCGCGAATCGAATGGTGCAATGCCCTTGTAGACAAGACGGAGAAGAAGCTTGAAGCGGCTGTGGCTGCGCACCCAGACATCCCGCTGATCATAGTCGGGCACTGGCCTTTGCGAGAAGATCTCGTGAAGCTGACCAAGGTTCCCCGGTTTTCGCTCTGGTGTGGCACCAAGCGGACAAAGGATTGGCACAACAGGTTCAATGCCAAAGTGATTGTGTCTGGCCACTTGCATATCAGGAGGACAGATTGGATCGATAACACGCGCTTCGAGGAAGTAAGCTTGGGCTATCCAAGGCAATGGCACAATTGCGTGGAACATGGACTGGATATCAACGACTTGCTCCGTGAGATACTGCCTGGGCCCAAGATGCCGCCCGAAGGGGAGCGCCGCACTATCTGGAGACATTTCGGATGAAGGGTTGCGTGGCCGGCGGATCGTGGGCATCCATCACATCTTGCTGTGGCTGCAGGTACGTCCAAACCCTCCAATGGCTTTGTGCGTTTATCCATTTACCAAGAATACCGCCGTACACCTCTCTCACTTTGACCTTGCATTGCATCCGCTTCTTCCCTCCACCTGCCTAAAACGTCGTTTCTGCCCCACAAACCACTTGTTCAATCGCACCCGTGCACGTGCACTGTATCTGATTCGCCATAACGAGAACCATGCCTAATATGTCTAATGCAAGGTTACTTAGATCGACATAACGAATTGCCTTCTATAGAGCCCTTCTCCGAGCGTACTCATGCGGTCCCTGAGTCGCTGCTTGCCCCGCATACCTATGAACTGCAACAAGGCCGCTGTCAACGTCCATATCAATGCTGTGTCTGAGCAATGGCCAATGGATGTCTACACAATAACCCATGTGCCCTACCATCGTGTCGGAAGGATGCATAGACAATGTTCCGCTCCATGCGAGCGCCAAAATCCTAAGGCATGACCGGAAACACCAAGGACAGAACAACACTATGCGGCACTTGTTTCACTGACTAGCATGGCACATGTGACCGGCACAGTGCCGAAGCGTTAGTATAAAAAACAAGACTATCCCCGGCTTCAGCAACACAGAGGTCTCCGACAACTGGACTGTACCCATTCTTAGAACTATTTCTTGCCCTGGCATACTACGCTAAGAATCAATATGCTCGGCCTCCGAAGTCTGTCCCTCCAGCTCCTCGCAGCTGCGAGCGTCGTCCTCTCCTCCCCCGTCAACCTCAAAAGCCGCGCAGTCATTGCACACGATGCTGTGGTTCCCTTCCCCGAGACTGTTCCATCTGGTCTTGTTGGACAGCTTATGCTCAAGTACAAGCCTTTCTTGAAGGTCTTCAACGGCTGTGTTCCTTTTCCTGCCGTCAACGCCGCAGGAGACACTAGGTCCGTCTTTCACCTACATCCAAAATGCCACAATTGCTGATTCTTCTCATAGCGGTGGGCTCAACCCCAGTGGCGGCGAAAATAGCGGCTGCAGTTCCAGCACCGGCCAAGTTTACGCCCGTGCTACAACCTACAACGGTGCCTACGCCATTATGTACGCTTGGTACATGCCCAAGGATTCGCCCTCAGGTGGCCTCGGTCACCGCCACGACTGGGAAAACATTGTCGTCTGGCTCTCAGCAGCCTCCACCACTGCCACCATTCGCGGCGTTGCTATTTCCGCACACGGTAACTACCAAAAAGAAACCAGCCCACCGTTGGAGGGAACTCGACCCAAGATTGGATACCGGGCTTTCTGGCCATTGAACCATCAGCTCATCGCCACTAACGACCTTGGTGGTCAGCAGCCGCTGATTGCATGGGACAGCTTGACGGCTGCTGCACGCAATGCGATCCAGAACACGGATTTTGGCGCGGCAACACCTGCATTTAGGGACGGCACCTTTGAAAGTGCCCTCGCCGAGGCCTTCATCTAGATGATTGATGGTTACGTGTAGAAGAGATTTCGCTGGTAGGAAATGCAAAAGTGGTGGATTGTGGAGCAGTTATTATGACCTATACTGTATATATTCATTTTCTTATTAGCGGCTTCACTTGCAGCTGCCCAACGCTACTGCATTACCTAAATACCTGTTCTTTTATCTGGAGTATTCTCTTCACAAGTGTGCCTGGATGACTCGAGTGCTGTGCCAGAACTAGACTTTCTTCTCCCGCCATACCCGATACGCTCACCCGTAATCTTCTCCATTCATGCTTCCGGCCTTATACTACAAAAGAAAAGTCGTGTTTATCTTGCAAGCACCGACGAAAAGCCGAGCGGTGGATAACGTGCTTGACACGTCAAGATCCTACACGTCTCAAGGGGTGGGCACCAAGACCAACTCCTGTTTTCTTGGACAGTGTACCATATATATATCTAGAAATATATGCCCAAGACGATCCACGAAAAATAAAAATGAAAATTATGCGCGTCACAGATGAAACATGCATGCAGCACAACAAACATCCATTGCGCTAGAAGCTTTGTAGAATGGTCAAATCGAACAAAGTAAGTTACTACTACTAGCAAACCCCGCTAACCCGAGTCATTGAGAATACTTTATACAACTCGCCTTGTCCAAACCAGGAGCACGTGAGAAATCGGTATATCTAATGGAACAAGTAACCCGAGTCTAGAATCCCCTTAGACTTAGGCCCTTGTAAGCAATTGTACACTCTACCTACCAGGCCACTATATGCGTATAATCGCTGCTAGCTACGTAGTTTGTAGCTAATAACCCGAATATCCGGGCGGTGGGCCATCAGGCGACGCATACTCGGGGGGAGGAGCCTCAGCGGTAGGACCCACGGGTATGGAACGTAACTGAGGCGCAGCAGCACTATGCAGGACCCTTTTGAACGCCTCCTCTCGCGCCTTCTGCAAGTCATGGCGTGCGCTCTGCAGCGCGGTCTGTGCGTGCTGGACGTCCGTCTGCAAGTTATGCTCGAGGTGCTCACGATGGCGTATGATATCGCCGCAAGCTTTGCCTGCGCGGTCGACCTGCGCGATGGAAGCTTTGATCTCCTCGTGCATGCGCATGTCGGTAAAGATGTTGTCGAAGACGACGTCGGAGAAGATGCTGCCGCTGGCGATGTTGAGGTGGCCGAGGGCGGGTATCTCGGGCGCGACCTGCGTGAGTTGGTCTTGCAGCATGCGCACTTGGGCCATTGCGCTTTCGGCGCGCTCCAGGTCGTTGAGCTTTTGCATGCTGGCCATGGTGCCGCCGCCGAACATGTCGAATTGACTCATGCCGTAGGCGTGCTCGAGGGAGGTGCGGGCGGCCGAGAGCTTCAGTGAGGTTTGCCCGAGGAGGAAGAGGATGTGGCGTTCACGCTCCAGACGCTGGTTTGTGTGTTGTACTTGTGCGAGAGCAGCGTTACAGGCATCCTCTTTGCGGTCTTCATCTGGAAATTCCGGTGTGTGGCCGGCGAAGATGGAGTTGTAGAGGGCATCGAGTTGGGCTTGCAGGCTCTCGTGATGCTGGGCTTGGGCGGAGAGTTCTTGTCTCCGCCTCTCGGCTTCATCGCGCAGTTGCTTGGTGTATGCTAGTTCGTCTTCGGCGCTTTTTTGCTCTTGTATCGCGTCGAAATAGTCCTTCTCTTCTTTGGCGGCCTTTTCGGCAAATCTCTCCTTCTTGCCGCTTGCTTTATGGGCGAAACGCCGAAAGGTCGAGTCGCGGTACTTTTCATGTTCCTTAAGCTCGACCTTTGCTTTGTTCTGAAGTGTTTTTACCCGGCTTGTTGTTTTCTGAATTTGGGAATCCAGGTCGGTTATGTAGTCATTTTGCTGCTTGAGCTGTGAGGGAGCAGCATCGGTTTCTTCGAGGCCACGAAGTAACTGCTCGTTTTGGTGCGCCGCTTGTTGAAGTTTATCTTGAATAGAAGACATTTCCAAGTTCTGGTTGTGTGTTTGTTACAGGATTTTTGCCATAGACGGGAGGGCAAGGCAATCTTTATATCAGAGTGATGACATGTTGGGGTACACAGCCTGCCTTGAGGGATCTACATGTGAGAGGGCGTATTCACACTCGGTTCGCAATAGGCTGAACAACACAGCCCGGTGACACCAATACGTCATTCTGGACGCCTGAAAGGTGAGGTGGATGCAGCGATAACTTGTCGATGGCGGAACTGAGTGTTTTGCTCATGCGATCTACTTGAAGGGGGTTGCACGCAAGGCTGAGCGCCACGGCTCAATGCGGCCTAATTATCGCGCAGTCATCTAAGCCCCGCAACTGCTAGTAGATCGCGGGAACGGCTATCCTGAACAATACCTGTAGTGGCGAATATTGCACAGAGAATAGAATGCCTTGGTGATGCCTCATGAGGGTGAAGACTGGGGATGCCAGTGAAGTGTGTCGTACAGCTGAGCTGTGCACAGGCAAGTGCAGCCGGCGTGGCTTCCAGACGGCAGGAAGTGCCTAGAGTGCCACATTCGTTCCTCAACGCCCCACCTTGTGAGACGTGATAGCTAAACAGCAGTGGTAACCATAGCAATCCCCGACATATGATGCCATTGAGCCCCTCATAATCCTCGCTTTCTTGTTTCTCATTTCCCTCTCGTACGCCATTGAGAACACCAGCATGGCAACTGAACGGCTCCAAGCTTATGAGCAGAAGCCCCGCGTCATCGTCTTGTCGGACATTTCAAATGAGCCTGACGATGCTGAATCGCTGTGTCGGTACCTCCTCTACTCGAATCAGTTTGAAACAGAGGGCCTCATAGCATGCACAAGCACGTGGATGAAGAACGAAGTTCACCCGGAAGACATGGAGAAGATTATCGATGCATATGCCGGCGCTGTCGACAATCTAAATAAGCATGTTCATCCAAAATGGCAATACCCGACTGCGGATCATCTGCGTGGCCTTATCAGGAAGGGCGCCGAGGTAAGCTTATACACGAATTCAAACATGCAAGATGTTTAGTTGGGACGGTGCTGATGTAACGTAGACATATGGCATGTCTGCTGTTGGCACCGGAACAGAACTATCTGCTGGCGGGCAGCTCTTGTACGATCGGATTGTTGCACCATCCACCCAGCCGCTGTGGATCCTCTGCTGGGGCGGAACCAACACGCTTGCTCAGGCGCTCTTGAAGGTTGATGATGATTATGACCCGGACGATTCCAAGCGCTTGCTTTCACGTCTACGCGTCTACGCTATTTCTGACCAGGATGACACGGGAGTGTGGATTCGGAACAATTTTCCAGATGTGTTCTACATTTCCTCGGTCCATGGCTGGAACCAGTATGGCTTGGCTGCATGGACTGGCATTTCTGGCGAGAGATACTATGGCTTCGATCAAGGTGGCCCCGACTTTACCAAGATGGAGAAGAGCTGGATCAAGGAGAATATCCAGAAAGGTCCTCTTGGGAGCGCGTATCCTGACTACCTTTTTATCCCCGAGGGAGATACACCCACATTTCTGTACCTGATTCAGAATGGCCTGGGCGTCCCTGATTGCCCGCACTACGGCTCTTGGGGTGGGCGGTATAGTCGTACAGATGTCAGCAGCGAAGGAGTCAACAGCAACCACTACAGCGATGCAGCGGATCGAGTTCAGGTCGGTAACAGGACTTACACATCCAACCATGCGACTATTTGGCGTTGGCGCGATGCCTTCCAGAACGACTTTGCTGCCCGCATCAAATGGACCATGGAGTCAGAATTTGCAAAAGCTAATCACCATCCCGTGATTAATATTAGTGGATTCAAAGGCCTCGCTCCCGCTCAAATCACTGCCGAGGCTGGATCTGCTATCACGCTCGATGCTTCAGGTACATATGACCCCAATGGAGGCAACCTGACCTTCAAATGGTGGCACTACCGCGAGCCCACGGCTACCCAATGGTGGGTAGACGCCGAAGTCGCAGAGTTGGCAATCAAAAAGTTGGACAATGAGGGGAGAAAAGTCGAAATTACGCTTCCACCACCAGAGAAATCTGCCGTGGAATTTACGAGCAAGCAACCTGTTGCACAAGGTCAATTGTTGCATCTTATTCTCGAGGTTACCAATGATGGAACACCTAATTTGACAAGCTACCGAAGATTATTGATCCAGACGACGAACAAGGAGTTGAGAGGCGGCAAGGATGTCGGAGCAACTGGGGACGCTACAAAGAAAGTTTGATGTGATCGAAATCATGGTTGTAGATAATATAGGAAAAGCAGCAACGATTGAACCTGAAAAGTCGATTTTGTTCCTTGTCCCATCTTTGGGAAAGCTAGTGGCGAACTGTTTCACTACAAATTCTATATACTCATAGGGTCACCACTACAGGGTAAACTTGGAATTAGTATCTCGAGTTATGGAATAGCTCTTGCATCTAGAGTTGAAGGTACGATTCATGTGGCTTGTCGACGGGAGACTAGATCAGAAAACACCACTAGGCCCCCGACGTCATGCCAGGCTAGTACACCCACGAATCAACGTCGAGCGCAGCGTAGTCCGACTCCCGGTCCCGAAAGTATTAGAGGGCTATCCCTACATGGCCTGTCAAACACGTGTTACCCTCCTTAACAAAACAGGTTGTCAATTGCCACATGCGTGCACCAACGACGATCTTGCATGACGTAGCGCTTCCGTACTCGCGCTGTCACACATAGTGCCGACCCTCATAACATCAATCGGCTTCTGGACCCTTGACAACATCTCTGAACATCACAAACTAACAAAATGCCGCCAAAACAAGCACAAAAACAATCCAAACCAAAGCCCGCAAAGGGCCAGGCCAACAGCAATGACGATACTCCGCACTGTACCATCCCCGAGCACGAAATCAAGCAAAATGCCGGCGTATCTGCCAGTATGGCTCTACAAGCAGGACAAAAAGCATGGGAGCTCAGGCAAGCAGCACATGGCGCTGCCGATGCGGAAGCAAGAGAGAAAATCTTAGCCAAAGCAATCAACAAGGAAATCGAAGCCGAGAGTTTTGGAAAAGCAGCAAAATACACACAGTCCGGTGCTTTTCAGGGGTTGGCTGCTGGAGCAGGATTGGGCGTACAACCAGGTGTAACCCTTGGAAAACTGACTGGTGCACTGGTTGGGGGCCTGGTGTCTACAGTAACTGGTCTACTTGGAGGTGGTATCGGTTCAGTGTACGGGGCCATGACTGGGCCTTTTTGGGATCTCGGAGAGATGGCAAGTCACGGAGTTCAAGGGGTGGTTGGCGACTTTCTTCCCGACATCAAAGCGACATCTTCGCAAAGGAAGGCTCTAGAGAAGATGATCATGCAGACAAAGGAAACGCAAGCTCCCACTAGGGAAGAGCTGGAGCAGATGAAGAACGATGCGCCAGACCAGATGCCGCAGTCTTGGTCGCAGTCAGTCAAGGATATGACAAGTTGGAGACCCAAAATGCCAAGTATGCCTAGTATGCCATCAGCGAAAGGTATGGGTGGTGCGGTGGGTCTTGGAGGGCTAGGTGCATCGATGAACCCCTGGGGAGGACAAAAGCAAAATCAGCAACAGCAGAGTGCACCGCAACCTCAGCAGCAGCAACAGAGCCAACAGAAGCAAAACCAGCAAGCTCCAGTTCAGAACCAGCAACCGACACAACAACGGAGCCAACAGCCTCCTCAAGTTCAAAACCAGCGACCGAACCCACCGAGCAGGCAGCCATCAAAGCAAGGAAACCAGCAGGGCGCATCATCCAATGCTACCTCCAAAGAAGAGCCTAAGCCCGCGAAGCCCCGTTCCCAAAGACCACCTACAACAAGAGGGCCAGCAAACCCTCAATCAGCATCGCAACCCCAGCCATCAACTACCAACACCACCTCGCAGCCCACTCAGGAAAAGCAACAACCAAGAACCCAACAGTCCTCCAACAAACCTGCAACAAGTATGCAAACTAAATCTTCGCCCCCGAAATCTCAACCAGCAGATACATCTCGACCCACTCAGACGAAGCGCGTCTCGTTCAACGATGGCCAAGAAAGCAGCTCCACCACTTCCACGGCAAAGACCAGGAGAAAGCCGAGGAAATTGAATCAGCAGACTCCTAATGCTGCCAACGCTAATGGTACGGCTAAAGCGCCGGCTCCTCCTGCCGCGAAGAGGGCGCCTAGGAAGCTTGAGACGAGGAAGCCTGCTGCATGAAGGGCTTAGTTGGGAGGGCATATGTGTTTTGGAGTTTGTTTATTCGTGGTATCTTCAGCGGGTTTTTTGGTAGTACATTTGTAACTTAATTAATCAGCTGTTATGTTACAATTCAGTCAAGTTTGGCACCATTGATGATGTTGCTGTGAGCACGTGTTTGTTTTGTTTGATACCTAGTCCTTTGAAGAATATTCAACGATATTTCACATAATGTCTTCTATTCCTGAGATATCAACAAGCTCCTGGCTATTGATCTAGGTCGTTTTCAGATTTCTAGAATGTATCTGCAAAAAGAAAAAGCATCATGACTCGAAAAAGAATTCGCTTGGGGTATTCAAGACGGGAAAAACCCCCGTACGAATACGAAACCAGGCCTTGATCAAAACTAGAGAAGCGCTTGGAGAAGTGTCTTTCCAACAAAAAGCTTTCTTTCAACCAACTTCTTTCCCAACATCACCTCTTTCCCACTGCGGCCCCTCTCCTGCTTCTCTATCTCTCGCCAGCTTCTTCTCCAACTCTTCTCTTGCCTTTTGACCAAACTTCTTTTCCCACTCCTTATCTCTTTCCTTCTGTGGCGCCGCAAATGATGTACTGAGCCCACCCCTACTCTTGACTTGCATCTTCTTCTCTGCCGCCTCATTTTGCTTGAGCTGCTCTTCTGCACTCTGTATCCTCCTCTTCAGACTGATCTCAAACATGTCTCTCCCTTTCCTCCGACCTTTGAGACCGTTGTCGTCTTTGTCAAAGTACACGGCCCATCGCAGACCTTCTCTCCCCCAAGGCGTTGAAGGGTCTTCGTCAGCGCCATCCCACTCGTCAATAGCAACGAAGCCTTCCCAGCCGTCAAAAGTGAGATGACTTTCGTCTTCTGACCAGTCCCAGACACCGATATGATGCATGATACTACCGGTACGATTCGAGTACCGCAACTCGTACGTGTGTTTGTCGCAATATATCCAGTTGAGCATGGGCGGATCATCACTGATGGTGCTCACTAGTCCTCGCTCCGGCGGATTACGGTCCTCATCCGGATACGCAATATAAAAGCCCGCAAACGCATGAAGTGGCTCTTTGCCCTCTCCATCCACGCCCTCGGGCCACATGGGTTTGTCATCCTCGCTCCTCGGCACGACCCAAACTTTGTCGTGGCGTACAACCAGAATACCGTGGTCCACCTCCTCTTTTGCTATTGGATCAGGATCATCGCATGCCACCAGACAGTTGAATTTCCACATGCGCGACTCATTGGCGGCTTCTTCGTTCTGCTTCTTTTGATGCTCGACGCCCTGCGCGACGCCTGTGACGACGGGAATTGCGATGACACAGCCACCAAGGAAGACTCCGAGTGGAAGCGCCATTTTACAGACTGGCAGTCAATATCGTATAGGGTAGGTTTTGACTTTTAAAATGCCGCCATGGCAGCTGATACGATCCTTATGTGTGGTCGAGATCCAATGGCTGTAGTGGGGGTGGGGCACTAGTGTGTTACGTCATTGCAAACATAGATATTTATGGAAGCAAGTAGTATTGTCGTAGCATGATTTCTTGAGCAAATGGTCTTGAAAATAATAAAAGAACACTATGCACCATAATGCGACTCTTGAAATTTTCTTATAAGCTCTATTGCAGATGGTAAGGAAGCCGCTGATATCATATCACTCACTCGGATATACAAAAATAAAGATCTCACCTCAGTCTCTAGAGGGACTCACTATTGGATTTTCTACGTAGGTTAGAGATACACCTTGTAGCTTCTTGATATTGAGTAGAATACTCAAACTGAGAAATAAAGTATTCGCTGGGCACCAGTACTTCTTGTCCGCTCCGGGTACTGCAAGAGGGCGCCTTCTTTTGCTAATCTAGACAACTGGGAACAACCAACCATGAACAAAATCCGCTCTCGCTAACAATGTCGGATCTTAGTCCAGTTAAAAGCTCTCATACAAGAACTCCATATTTTGTAGCGACCGAGAAAACAATCAGCGATACACAACATGTCATTGGCTATTTTGGCTAGAGGCAGGGGTAATGGTCTGTCAACCATGGAACGCGTTAAGACCAAGTATTGTATATGGAGATATCGCCATGTTAATTTTCAAGCGGTAATAAGTTGAACATCTACCCTGATCTTGATACCCTCATGACGAAATTGCTCTCCGAATAATATACTCGACACATCATGTTTCGGACCGTCACGAATGTACTTCGCGCATGCCGCGAAAAGGCGAAAAAGACCTTTCCAACACTTTTAGCAGAAAAGAAGTTGAAAGCAGGCAAGTCGTCTAAAGAAGAGATGCGCACGGGTATAACGAGCGAATCCTCGAGCCAGCCGACAAATAACAATCCAGGCGAAGATTCCTCTCCCAGAGCTAGGTCTCCCTCGCCAGGTCCATTTAGCCACCTCCCGCCACCAGAGCAAACGGAGCCTTTTCCAGCTTTCGAAGAAGACGAGAAAGAGTGGAATAAATGGAACGAATGGAATGAGGATATTAGAACGGTACCCTATAAACTCGACCACTGCACCCAACACTGCAGGCGCCCCATCTGCCGCAGAGTGACCCGTGGCAATGAGAGGAGAAGCGTAGATCCGGGAGCCTGTCTATGCTTTCTCGAGCCACCCCCTGTAACAGAGGCGACAAATCAGGTACTGATAAAGCCATTTTCCGAAGAAGACATTGCCGTCGTGCAAGCCACTTACGAACGCACCGACAAACAAGACTTCATCATTGTCAATCTGGGGACTTCTATGACCCTTGTAGACATGCTGCGTCCATCATTCCACTTGGATCTATGCTCACGTCTGCAATGGGATCCAGACTTCACAACGGATGTCCTGGTCCACAGCAGTTACTACTCTGCCGCTCTCCAGTCCGCCAACGACCTCGTCGAAAAGGTGTTTGTCCATCTCATGATACTGCTGGGTCCAGTGCCGAACCACACGCGGTATATCACGGTGCAGGAACTGGAGCAGACGATGCAGTCAGTGATGCGACTGGAGTTCTTTTGGTGGCAGGCACTGTGGTGTTTTAAGCAGGAGGAGCGAATACCAAAGGATGAGGACTGCCATGTTAGGAGGATGATGAAGGACGGGTTTGTTCGTGCGAGACGGCGCTATATCTGCAGAAAGCAGAGTATGGGGATTCAGGTGATGATGGAGAAGTTGGAGGATATCGTGGAGATGGTGGTTAGTGTGTTGGTGTGGTGGAGTGAATATATGCGCCAATGGGCAGAAGATATTGTGGACGCTGAGTCGATAGGGCTGGATTCGAGCGTTGCGTCTTTTGTTTCGGCGCTGAGTCATTTTGCAAGCGACGAAAGCGATACCGATGGCGGATATATGGAGAATGTTTGATTTACAATGCATTTTCTGATTTTGTGAGTCGAACAGACCATCATGTGCTTTTTGGTATCATTCACTGTTCAGGCGTAGTGACCCTTGGAGGTCGCAAACACGCACAACGTCTGACTTTCATGACTTCACTCAATGGATACATTGTTTTCGCTGAATTTACATGGTTTACGAACAGCTCTTCATTGTGTCGATGCTGTATTTAAAGATCGATATTATTCCCCTTTTCCTCTCATATCATTCAAACAGACTATCACGACAGCGACAGACTACCAAAAAAAACAACCAAGAACTACCAACAACAACCATGGAGCATCTCACTACAGCTACAGAGCAACCCAGTACAACCATGGAGTAGCCTAATACAACTACAGGGCAACCTGCTGCAATCATGGAGTCGCCCACTGTAGCTATGAAATCGTCCACTGAAGCTATGGAACAACTCCCTACAGTGTACCAGCCTACCACAACCATGGAGCAGCCTACTTCAACTACAGAACAACCCGCTAAAACTATGGAGTCACCTACTGCAGCTATGGAGCAGCCCACTACAACCATGGAGCAACTCACCTCCTCCCTCCCCGGCGCCTTCCCCTCCCTCCCCTCCCCTCCCACCCCGCTCTCCATCCCCCTCACCACCTCCCTCGCCATCCTCGCCAACATAATCCGCACTCTCACACACGACGCCACAATCCTCGACACGCAACTCGCTCGCCACGCCCCCGCGACCGAGGCCTCTGACCTCCCGCCCCTTGCTTACTACTATTTCCACAACACAGTCTCCAACTACCTGATCGGCGCGGATCCCACGTTGGCGTTTGTGCCGGAGGAGTTCAAGGCGGAGATGCAGATGGCGCTTTGGGTTGCTGTGTGGTGGTATGCTATGGTGCATTGTGGGGAGGGGGTACGGGAGAAGGTGAGCAACGCCGTGGCGGAGGAGTGTATTGCTATTATTGAGGGGGATGAAGGTGAGGAGATGGTGGTGGTGAAGAAGGTGGTTGGGGTTTGGAAGGCGTGGATGGATAGGTTTGTGGAGGAGTTGGTGGCGGTGGGGGAGGTGGCGAAGGAGGAGAAGGAGAAGAAGAAGAAGACGAGTAATGAGGTGTTTGAGTGGGGGGTCTTGGGGCTTATGGTGTTGCCGAGTTTGCTTCGGGGGGGTTTGGTTCGTGGGTATTGATTTGCGTTCTTGTTGGGGTGTTTGTGCTTATGGGGGGTTATCGAGTTCATGGTAGAATAGTTGTGTAGATTGGAATAGAAATGGTCACAACCAGATATAGAATTATTGCATCCCGTTTTTATTGATTTTGCGTACACGCATAGGAATCGGATTCCAAGAGTGAAGTTCCTAGAGCAATCAGGATCTGCGCGTGAGGATAACGGACGATGGGCTCTAACTGCGTTACAGATGGATATGAGGAACGCTCTGTAGATGCATCTGAGCCATCCCTCAAGTATCTGCCACGGACCAGATCCCCTCCACATCTATATACATCGCCTTCCCGGATGCTTCCTTCTCTTCCAGTGACGGCAACTCTCCCTAGACCATAAACCCACATCGGTATACTCACTATATCTACTATCCTGGCCTTTATATTTACTACCTTCCTAACCTAATACGTCTTTATTCTGTTATCTGCGGCCGCCCATACACCTCACCAAAGACACCATTCCAGAAACGCCACAAGGTCGCGGGTCGATCTGGTCATCTCCACATCTCTCTAATCATAAAATGGAGGTACCAATCAGCAGACCAATTAGCGTACAAACCAGCCAGTCGACAAGAACTCTCCATCCGACTTTTCACTTCCTCCATACTATATGTGCATCATAACTGACAACTACATTATCACACGCTTCTGTGCTGCAAGCTTCCTAAAATAAGCCAGCTAAACCGAGAGAGAGAGAGAGAGATCCCTAAGTTTTTCTTGAGATGAAAGAAAAACCAAAAAAGATCGAAAAAAAACAATAGTAGAAAAATATAAGAAGAAGCCAAAGGTATGTGTCTGCTTAGGAAGAGAGGAAAAGTTTTTCCCAGGGACCAAGATATCAAACCACCGTATCCCGCCTTCTTAGCTCACCTTGCTTAATCCAACTCTTCAACGCCGAGATTGTACCCCTTCTTTCCACCCAAGCCTCTATTGACATATCCTTTCCTCCTCCTCCTCCTCCTCCGCCGCCGCCGCCACCACCACTAAAACGCCGCAGATTCATTTTCAGACTTCCTCGACGACTCCGTTCCTCCTAAGCAGGCGTCGTACTCCGATCTCTCCTCAGCAAACCACCCCGTCCCTTGGGTCTCGGACTAACGCTACCATGCTGGCTGGTAGCGTCGCTGGGCAGGAAACTTGTGCGAAGCGTTACCATACCCTTGCCCACACCTATGTTCTGATCACTCCCACTGCCCTGATCGGAGACTGTGAACTGAGCCTCACCAAGCTCCTCGTCGCGACCGAATTTGGCGTGGTTCTTGACGATGATTTTGAAAAAGGCATCGGCGGTGCAGGGCACCTTGAAGGACTCTTCAGATGGATCGAATGTCGCAGAGCCCTGAGGAGCCTTGATGTGATCTGTCTTGTGGATTTCCTTCTTGCCGAGCTGAATGTGTACGCGAATGTTAGTATTGGGGGCGAAGCCGTCGGCGCTCAGGACAGTAATGTTAGCCGTGCCTTGCTCTGCGCTTCCGACACCATTGTTATCACCGAAGCGACTGTGGAAGCTTGAAGCACCCCAGCTGCGATGTCTATTGTGGTTCGAGCCATCCTTCGGGGGTGTGGTGGGTTCACCTTCGATCGAGATGACGGGCGTGTCAGCCGATGGCCGGTCTGTAGCGGTGTCTGGACGCTCGGGTTCGTCTTCTGGGGCTTCGCCACGAGACTTTCTGCGCTTGAAGCCACGGCCAAGAAATGTTCCTGCACGGACGACGTTACCGCCCACAAAGGCAGCGCCCTTGCCGACGCCTTTTACGGGAGCGCCAATGACCTTGCCCGGAACAGCAAAAGTACCAGAGAAGGTACTTGAGCCCTGGCGTGATCGCATGACATAGTCTGGTTTGAACAGCATGCGCAGACGAATGGCACCGGATTTTCCATCGAGTGCGAGGGTAACTTCTTGCTGCTGGAAAGGCTCAAGAATCTCCAGGTTGATGGAGGCTTTACCAAGGAAGTCGGCCTTGTCGCCAAAGTCCCAGTCGTAGACGTTGACAACAAAATCAGCTGCTGTCCGGCTGCGCACTGGTACTTCAAAGTACTCATTCCAAGCAGGATGTAGTGTCTTCTTCTGTGTCTTGGTCTTGTACACCTCCTTGTCGTTGAGCACAAACTTGCAGTAAGGATCCGAGAAGCCATTGCGATCAGCTGCAGGCAGATCCGCCGCATCAAGTACGTCTACCCGAAGAGTACCCTGGTTGTTGAATGATTCGCTGGGATCCAGACGCATTTTGACGGGAATGTACTTGAGCAGCACAGTGATCCTGTTGTCACGTCCATGCTTATCTTTCAGGGTAAAAGTGGTGGGCGTGTTCTAGAAAAGTGATTAGCAGAAGTTTCTACAATAACCACTGCAGACGTACCAAAGCTTTCCGCAGCGTATCAATGGTGTTTCCAGTCAACTTGGCAATGACATGGTCATCCTGGTCTTCGCTGTCGTTGTCATCATGCTCCATGATACGGAGAGTGATCCTGGAAAAGTCGAGTTCTCGAATCATAGTATCACCAACTGCATCTTGTTAGCGTAATGCGACATTATACAGTGCTTCACCATACTGTCGTTGAAAGTCATCTTGTTGCTCCTGATCTTGGTGCTGATATAACTAGCATATGCCATGTCGTCCATAATGACATCGACATGACCACCAGTCCTGGCAAACTCGCCTTCGATGAGCTTGAACACAAGCAGACCAGATTCTACAACACGTCAGCGACTGTCAACCAAATTTGTAAGAATACGGCGCATGATGCTGTAAGTTGGGGACACCAACTCAAGCAACTCAAGTCCGCATTCTCACACTGACCATGCAACCTACCATATTTCTGCAAGTCGTCTGCAGTAAGCTTCAACTTCTCAATTGTCTTCTTTTCGGGAATTGAATCGACCTGTTGCAGCTCATTCTTCTCAAGCTCCTTCAGCATGTCCTTCTCGCTCGACTTCAGCGATGAGATGGTGCCTACAGTCTCGGCTTTGCTTGCGATGGAAGTATTGGACATTACGCGCTGATGGCCACCGATCTTGGGGTCATCCGATGTAGAACCATTGGCCGAAACCTTCTTCTCTTCTTCTTTTTCTTCCTCGTCCTCTTCAGGATCCCATGTTGGGTAGGTTGGGTAGAATGAGCAGGTGTAGTTTAGCGTGCCTCTGGATTGAGTTTGTCCAGCCATCCTCAAGGCTCCTGCAGTAGGCTGCTTTTGTTCATATTCAAGGTATTCACCGTTCTCGTCCTGCTTAATGTAGTCACCAGCCAGGAGTTCAATGTGTCCCATTGTGCGGTCTTTGCCAAGATTCTCCTCGTCCATGACCTCCAACGTAAGCTTCTCGCGGACGGTGTGTACAGGCACATATATGACTTCGTCCCAGTCTGGGTTGAGGTTGTTCTTGAATACGACTGTACGGCCCTTTTCAATGCCAGAGAGCAAAACGCGGACGTACGGATCAGACTTGCCGAGCGCTTCGAGGTTGCGCAGCTCACGAGCGCTTTGGAAGTGCAGTCGCATGACACCGATAGGCGTGAGATAGCCACCTGATGATATGGCCCCCTTGAGTGCGACAGGCTTCCAATCGAGCTTCATCTTCACACGGCCACTTTGGGTACCGGCAATGTTGTACCATTCATGGCCCTTGGCCATCAACTCCAACATGTCATCAATGGTAATTTGGTAAGTGCCAAGGATCGGATCAGTTCCAAGTTCGCGGTCATCTTTGATTACAAGACCCAGCTTTGCCTTCTTACGGTCGGTAATAAGCATCTCCTTGGAGGCGTCTGGCCAGATCGGTTGGTTGGTTCGTTTCATGGTGCGTGATTTATGGATTTCATGTCCGTTGAGGAGTAGCACGGCATATGGGCTCAATTGTCCAATCATGCTCTTGCTGCCATCAAGGTCCTTGGCCTGCTCCACTGTAAACTTGCAGATACCAGTTCGCGACTCTGGCGGTGGCTCCTTGGTGCCGTCTTCAAGAGTGGTCTCTCCTAGAACAGGGAAGAAGCGAACGTCTGCCGAAACCAGACCCCGGGCTCGTCCGCCTGACATGACCTCGAGCTGTAGGTTCTCATGATCGGGATCCTCCTCGAGCTGTTCCAGAGCGAAAGTTGCGGTACCGAGTTCCTTGTCCTTTCGGATATCGTTGTAATCAAAGATGTTGATGGTAAGAGAGTCTTTCAGCGAGGTGATAATAATGTTGACGGTTTCATTCCATCTCGGGTTAGCGTTCTCATGCACAGTCTTAGTGCGTCCAAGTACATTGCGATTATTGATTGAAACAGTAGCGTAGGGGTCAGGAGTGCCAGAGAACTTGTCGGGATTCTTGAGGCCTTGTGCGCCGTGGAAATGAATTTGCAAAACACCAATAGCTTGATCGACGGGATTACCAGCAAGCATCTTGGCGATTTCAATGGGGAAAACGTTGGGTTCGTACATCATGGGGCCGAGATTAGCATGAATCTGCTCCATGATAAACGTCTCCAATCCCGGAATGAAGTTGATATCGAAGCCAAAAGTCTCACCGCCCAACGGCTTGCAAACATAGTCAATGGTTGGGCGTTCCAGAAAGGACATTTCGACTTTTTCGATGTGGGGAAAGGGTAGCTGTAGCTTGAACTTGAGGCGCATAAGGCCTGAAAAGGCCATATCCTCGACGATGACATCCAAACCTTTGCTGACAAGACCTTTGCCGACGCGGATTTCTAGCACAACCTTGGGGTTAATCTTGTTCTTGATCTGCCTTGCGGTAAGGTCGGCCGTGTCGTTTGGCGTAAAGCTAAACTTCCAGTCCATAAGAACAATGTCGTCCTGGGTCTTTGGATACGTCTTGACATGCTCCAGTCGCGGAGGCTTCGTTCCGAGCACAAACGTCGTCATCTTCAGACTATCAAGGAATGCCGGAGTTGAAGTAGACAGGACTTGGTCGACGGTGCCAACAATGGTGTCACACAAGACGGGCGCATAAATAGGCCAAAACTTTACGAGAAAGCTATTGATCCACTCAAGACTCTCATTGTCCGTCTCCAGCTTGTTCTTGGCCATTTCACGATTGAGGTCGTCTCGAGCATTGCGACGCACGCGGCGAATGGATGTCCGGTAGTAGGTTCCGCAGACGGCCATGAAGATCATGATCCAGCCTAGTCCGCCGCCGAGAATGCCCACTACCCACGAGCTCAGACAGGCAAAGATGATGATGCCGGTATTGTGGTACCAGTCACCAAAGAACTTGTCCTCGAGCTTGCCCTCGAGCCATGTCTGATGGTCTGCCAGAGAGGGCTCGTCCTCGTCCTTGTTCTCCGAACCTGGCATGCCAAACCGTGGGGCCCATCCGACTCGCTCCCACCGCGCATCTTCGTCGAGTTGCTCGGGCGCGTGACCATTTGCCTTTGTACCGTCTGGTGTCTGGATTGCTCCAGCCTTGGTGGGCGTGGGCAGGTCGTACTGGGCAGGACCGTCGCCATCGGCGTCTGATACGAGTGCGGTAGCTTTGTGCTCGCGGTGGAAGCCAGGTGGAAGTTTGGCTCTAGCTTGTGCCCGCTTCTGGTCGGGACTGGCATCTGGGTCGAATTGATAGGCGACACTGCCCGCGGCTTGCGCCTGATTGACAATTGATTGTTCTGCCTGGCGCGCGGTAATGGAGCTGTTGGGGTCTTTTGCTGCTTCGAGGACACCTTGCTGCTTCAGCTCTGATTCCCGCGATGCGGTAGCCATGCTGGGGGTGTGGAGCGGAGACCCGACCCGCTGGCGCTGGCGCTGGACAGCAACTAGAGGAGGACCAGGGCGTGCAATGGGGCGGGTGGAATTGGGCGGGCAAGGAGGCGAGTGCAGGTTAAAAAGAGGGAAGCGCGAAAGAGACCGAAATACACAGAGAAGGAGAGGCTGTGAGGGTACTGCTGCCGATGCAAGCGGAAACCTGTTGTTTGGGCCGATTAGCTTGGTTGGTACACGCGGCGGCGGCAGCTATGCTTTAGCGATGCTGCAGCCGGTACTGCAGTGGATGAGCACTAAACTGGACTTTTTACTTTACAAGCCGGGATTATTGGCCGGTGGATCGATCGCCGAAGGAAACAAAGGAAATTGCGAGCAAGGAGCGGCTGGATTGAAGATGATGAGCGGGGGAAGGGGTGAAGGCGCAAGCAGTGGAAGTGAAAGTGGGCAATTGAAACCAAGGGGAAGGTGGTGAAGGTGAGTCGTGGACGTATGTAATTGCAGCTCTCTGGCCACGACGATCCGGACGTGCCTTCCTCGGCAGGGCAATGGCTCCTTCAATGGACGACGCACTGCCGCACTGCCACACTGCCAATTGCAGAGAGCGATTCAGCCGAGCAGGAGCCCACGAGAACTACGGCGTGGCTTCGGGCAAACCACTAATCTTTGCTGGCGTGATTAATATGGCGATGGATGGAAGTGAATGTGTATAGTCCAGCATCGGCCGGGAAGCGGTAGTGCGAGGGCGGGCATGGATGGAGCTGCGCCCAACAAGTGGCTATGACGCTATCAGCTAAGGAACGCGACTGCTTGGCGCACATCGCGTTCCTTTGCCCTTTGGCCTTGCACTTGTCCCGGCCGTGCAGCCAACCACACACAGCCAGCCACGCCCGGCCAGGCCAGGGTCCACTCTTCTCTACACTACTGCTACACTATGCTACATTACCACTACTGTACTAACAAGTACGGCTACTACGCCACACCACCAACACCTCCTCTATTGTGCAGCTAACTAAACCTGAATTCAGTTACACCTCCACGCCCTCGGACTCGCCCGTGTCACTCTCAGAAACGACGAGTCCCGTCCCCGCCTCTCTGTCCATGTTCTATCCATTCCACCAATGGGCAATCGCCAGTGACGGGACAAAGTAAGCCCCGCCTTCTTCTTCTTCCTTTCCCCCCAGTCCTTAGTTGCATGCATCATTTCTTAGGTTTTTGTTTTTTTTTTGCAACAAAACAAAAGCGCTGCCGCAATGTGTGTTCGTTGCTTATTGTGCAACCATTGTCCCTCATCCAACTATGGATGTATTACATGCATACACATGCATTCTGGTTGCATGCTCACCTCGTATTTCAGCACATGTATGTACACACACTGCACACGTTGCAGACCGCCTCGTCAAGAATGTGCTCCTCTTGCTCTCAGGATTGTCCACCTAGCCAGATCCAAGCCACACTTTGGTCAGCCACCGCCACTATGTATTTCTAACCTTCCCCACCATCACCACCACCATATCCATGTCCTCAAAACTCCTTGAGCAGCCGCACAATCTGGCCTCTGACACTGTGCATGCATTTAGTAAGCAGGCCCGCTGGCAACTGGAAACTTGCGCCCAGACGCTCCCTCTTGCACCCCAGACACATACCTATGCATCCGTGGATCCCGCCCTCTGTCCCGCTCCCGATCTCGCTCCCTGTCCCTATCCCGACTCCCATTTCTTGATCGTACATAGTCGCGATCATCCCATTCGTCTTTGGCCCGGTCGTGGCTTCGTCTCCTGTCACTGTCACGCTCGCGCTCGCGCTCTCGAGGATACTCTACGTCTGTAGAGTGCCGTCGGTGTGATCGCCCGCTGCTGCTGCCCCCATCGTGCCCCTCTCGCTCACGATATTGATGCTCTCGCTCCCGCACATATGCACTCTCACCTTCGCGAGATGGCGGTACAGGGTGCAGTGTTGGTGATCCCCATCGCACCCCGCTGTGTGGCGCAGGCACAGGTCTGTAGCTCGTGCGTGGAGGCATGGCCGGTCTGCGTTCATAGTACTTCCTTGCTTCCTGCTGCGCATGAGCTACCTGTGTCGCAAACAGCGGCGATGTAGTCGGCCGATACACCGGCTGTGGTGATGTTGCCGTAGAACTTCGTCCTTCCATCCGAACCGTCTCGTGTTGGTTGGAATATCGACGCGCCTCGTGGTAAGTGGGGAAATAGCCCGGCTGTTCTGCAGGTGCATCGTGGGATCTGCGAGTACGCAGTATTGGCGTCCGGCGTCGAGGAGATTGATCCGCATCAGAGTCCGACTCCGACTCGGTCGTCGATAGTGAAGACTCGCGACGCGGCGGTTGGGGGCGCTTGTGTGCAGGATATCTAGGTGCTGCCTGGGGTACAGATGCTACAGGTGTCGCATCTTCATCTGAGTAGCTGTCGCTTTCGTACCGACCTGGCATAGTCTTCTTTCTACTAGCAAATGGATTCAGTGGGTTCAGCATGTGCCTGACCCGTGAAGTGACGGCCCGGTCGCGATCGTCGACAGGTCGCGTAGACTGCTTCATGACGTGACGCATAAAAGTAGGCCTTGGTCTCTCGTTGCGGTACAGCGGATCTTCAAAGTATCGGAATGCCCCATGCTTCTCGTCAGCCGAAGAAGGCTCGTACTCGGTAGAAGAACGTAGTCTCGCTTCGTCGGTGCTCCCATCGTTAGCCTCCTCTTCCGCCTCTTTCTTGAGTCTGGCTGCGACATTGTGATACCACGCCTCCATGGCATCGTCGGGCTTGTCTGGAAAACACTCTTTGGGAAGGATCTTGGGGAAAATATTGCCCGTCTCGGGGTCCGGTATGTCGTCCAGTTCCACAGCTCTTTGGAGAAATGGTACGTGCTCTTCTGGTCCCAGCAACAGCTGGATAGTCTGCCACGTTACAAACCCTTGCTTCTTCAAGGCCGGTATCGTTGGGCTCGAATACCCGTCGTCGTCCGCTGCGGGTTGCAAACTGTGGTATGCGCCCAGCGAGCGGTAGATGAATGCAATCGAAGACGGCGGCGTGTCCGTAAACAGGACATCGTAGTCGCCGCCAACACTGCGGTACCAAGCTGCGATTTGCGACGGCGTCAGATCAGGCGAGTCGCTGGGTTCAAACTTCTTGCTCTGCGATGACAAGCATCAGTACCCATCCGTCCCAACAACGTCGAGCTAGCGAGCCGCCTCAGAATACTTACAATAACCTCTGCAATGCCTCTGAGCAGACCATCGAGTTTGCGCGTCCCACATTTGTCGTCTTGAAAAAGGTAGCCCCAGTAGTCGTATGCTTCGCGATGCGCCGCGTTGGCATTTGCCGTGTTTGCGACATGCTCTTCCTGCTGCGTAGGTTCTGTGGCCATGCTGGGGAAAGGTGGAAATAGCAGCTATCAATGATTTCAAGCATATGCGCGTATGTATGTATGTAGTAGCGCCTCGGCTCAATCTTCGGAGCTGGTGCTGATCCAAGGTGGTGCGGTCGGTGAACCCCGCTGTCGTGCGACGCAATAATGCAGGCGTAAGTATGTATGGAACGTGACGGCATCCGGAAGCTGCTGCTGCTCCTGCTGCTTATATCAAAAGAAATCCGTCGGCGCTATCAGCAGGCACAATGGCGCGTCGACTGCGCCTCTGCGCCGCACGAGAACTGCTCCCAAGGTTCGCATGTATTGGGCTGGCGGCCTGTTTGCGTGGCTGGTGACCATGCTGACATCACCTCTGATAGGTAGGGCCGCAAGGCTGAGCTGGCGTGAGGTCTGAGGTCGCAGTCAGGCACCCGTTCGGGCTCACATGCCCACTAGCGACCCAGCCCGACGTTTCTGTTTCCATCATCCCGCCGTCATGCGCCGGCGTGTATACACACTACTCACTCATAGGCCATCAACAGTCAAGCTTGGAGAAGAATAATTTGAGAAAGACGATTATATTCTTTTTACCCGCCAATAATGCATGTCTACTATCATGATGCGTCAGTCATGGACGGGCCAGGCTGTTATGCCCCCAATTACCACATGTGTCCTATCTGTCTAGGAATGTGAGAATGCGTTGCCATCCCTCGTTACCAGTTACTACCAAAGTACTCCTTCCTTCCTCAAAAATCTATGTAAAAGCGCAAACAAAACATGAGCCAAATCTGCTCTAGTGCTCGAGCAGCCTGAGCGAACCCTGAACAACCACGTTCTCAAGGATGGAACCTGGGGGAATGTCGATGGTCGAGCCCTCGGTAGCGACAATGATGACGGTACCCTTGAAGGTAACACCACGACCAAGGTTGACGGGACCGGTAATGGTGAGATGGTCCAGCTCGACAATCTTAGGGATCGATGGGATGCGTGCTTGGAAGCTGGAAACCTTCTTGAAGTCGCTGCCAAGCTTGATCAGAGGAGCAGGGCCGAAGCGGTTGGGGTCAATGACCAGCTGGCCGTGCTGAAGTGTGTAGAGATCAGACTTGACAAGCATGAGGTCAGAGCAAGTCTTGACGGGTAAGAACCGCCTTCGGGGAACGTTGACACCATGTGCGTTCTTGAAGTGCTTGATAGCGGCACCGACAGCAGTCTCGAGTTGGAGGACTGAGATGTCGGCCTCGCCCTTCTTGTCGGCAGGGATCGACTTGCCGTTGGGGATGATTTCCATGGCAAGCTCGTTAGCCTCAACAACACGCTTGATGGCCGCGAGGTTCATCCAGATGTTGTTGGTGTTGAAGTACTTGAACTTCTTAATCGACTTGAACTCATTGACGTGCTCCTTGGGAACCTGGGCAATTTCGAGCAGACGGACAGAGCCCTCGTAATCGATGATAGTACCACCCTTGACGTCGGCCTTGGTCTTGTCGGTCAACTCCATGATGTACTCGGCCTTGGAGTCAACCATGTGCTGGAGGATGCGGAGGTCGACAACGGCACCCAGGTTGTCGGCGTTGGAAAGGAAGATGTACTCGATACCGCGCTCGGTAAGCTTGTCAATCATACCTGTGTTGTACAGAGACTCGAAAACGTCACCGTGACCTGGGGGGTACCAGTTGGAGATGTCTGAGTTGTACTCCTTGGGAGCGGGCAGGAGCGAGTCCTTGAGGATACGGGGGTACCTCGATTGGTTGAATGTGAGAATGTCAATGTTGTGGCCCTCGTACTTCTTGATGATGCTAGCAGTGTCCGTGTCGGTGTTGAACGAGTTCATGAGCACAAATGGCACGTTGACATCATATGTGCGGTTGAGGTACTCAATCTGGCGAACGGACAAGTCCAGGAAAGACATGCCGTCACGGACTTCAATGACTGACTTGGGGCCAACGCAACCCATCGAGGTACCGAGACCACCGTTGAGCTTGACGACAGCGAGCTTGTTCAGGTATTCAACACCCTCGGTGTTGGCAAGGTCATCGTAGTTGACAACCTGCTCAGCCTTTGGGGGTGCGATGCGGTTCCAGTCAATGGCAGTGCCCTTAGCCTTGTCATTGAGGTACCGGCGGAACAGCGCGAAGAAGTTGTCCATCTCCGTCTCGAAGTACTGCGACCATCAGTATGTTGTGCTAACACGACCAAGTGCCCCTCTTCGATGTCCGCAGCGGATGATCATGACCATTTTCACGATTGTAGGCCATTGACCCTAGCGAGTGTGTTGTATGGTGCGAGCAGCATGCGGGGAATCGAGGAGAGGTATCGAGCAATTGAGACTGACCTTCTTCTCAGCGGGGTCGGTGACGGTATCGGCGAGCTTGTTCAGCGCATTACGCATTTGCGAGGCAGCGACATTGGTCGATGTGTTCTCAAATGCCTAGACAAGGGACTTGGGTCAGCAATTGGTAATTGAGATGGCAAAAGTAGGGATTGCATCGCTTGTGGGGTGAATGTTGCAAGACCGCCACTGCGAGGCCGCGGAGTATACACGCAGGCGGTGCGGGGCAGATGGTTCTGTGGAGCTGCAACTGGCGCCCTCTCAACATCGCCTGACAGCTCGAGAGAAAGGCTTGCCAGTGAGCTGTCATCCTTGCACAAGGTGGCAGGAAGCCGCCATAGACAGACGTCCGTCGGGGCCAGGCTCACCAGGCACAAGGTGCCAACTCAGTGCAGACTGAGAGTGGTGAAGACGAGGGGAACCAAGGCAATTGAGGCAATGGTGAAGAGAGAAAAGGGCAAAACCAAGGGGAAGATGGGCAGGCTGTACAGTGACAGCGGACGCGTGTACTTACCACATGGGACTGCGACTTGCCGTGGTGGCGCTGGGAGGAGAAGCCCTCGCCCTCAGCAGCAGAGGGCTTCAGGTGGGAGGGGATCGCGCGAGATGCCATTGTAATGTTGAAAAAGAGGTAAAGACTAGAAACAGAAGAGGAGTGTCGGGGACAGCTGTTGTTGGGGAGCTGGACTCCTTATAGACAAACGGGTCGAGCTTGGCGCTGGACGTGGGGCAAGGCGAGAACGGGCTCTGCCTGGTAGCAAGAAAAGGCTTGGGGGGGTAGAAGGCGAGTAGTGAAGAGACGGTGTGCATCTGGTTTTTTATACCTGCAGTCTACTATTGCCGCTCGGAGACAAGAAGGGCAGTTTTGAGCGTAGCATCTCTGCATGGCAACGGCGACGCCGCCAATGGATCCTGCCCACATGTCCAGCGCGCCATACCTCGTGTCCTCGTCTGCTGCTATCAATTGGGTTGCTCCCGCGCTGGACCTGCTCTGTTGTCTGCATAGAGGCTGCCGTTGTTTGTTTTGCCAGGCGTATGTACACTGCCTGCAAAGCACCACCACCACTCCCACTTGCTGTACCCACCTCGGCGCCCCCTTCACCGACGTCTCAGCACACCATTTGTGGCTCTGCCTGCCACCGGCCCCGGTTCGCGGCGCTGCTGGCTGCTATCCGGCCGTCTGTCCGAGTCAATGTCAACATCGTCCATCGAATGAGCTTTGCGGCCGCCTATCTGTCCAACCTCACGATGCACAATTGTTGAATAATTTCCCTGGGAGCTATGTCGATAAACTGAAAAGCCCCTCATCTGGTCTCGGCGCTAGCAGGGGGGGCATGCACCCAACCTGACGTAGCCCGCGCGACCGCCTTTCCCATTGCTCCCCAACAATCTTCCCCGGCATGCGGGCAACGTCCCAATTTTCCTGGCCTGTGGCGAACGCGCGACATTGAGGCAAATGCCTTGCTATTCCTGGACAACCCGCTTTCTCGTCGACGGCTACCTGCCCAGTATGGCTACCACGTACGCAGTCGCCTTCGGAAGACATTGTGCCTGCCCTACGCTCTACGCCGAGAGCATATCTACTACTACTTATCTACCACTACTCCAGGGGTAGACTACTTACTTAGAGTACCGCTGTGGTTGACGCCACTATGTACAGTCAACGCCGTCCCGAGTTCAGCTGTCGCTTAAAACACGTGGGGGATCTACTGCTAAGGTTGTGTATTGTAGGCTTACAGCAGCGATGCCCTTGCTTGACAGACGTGGACATCAACCACTCTTTCCGTCCTGCTACAAGCAACAACAACGACAACCCTCGTGGCGGTTAACTTTATGGATGTCAGCCTGCCGGCTCATCGGCAGTCGACACTGTACCCAGACCGAGGACTATCCAAACTCTAGAAGCCCTCACACCGTGTAAGACAGGGGGATAGATATTGGGTGGGGTCCAAATCGCCGCCGGACACGCTAGCGGAGCTTATCCACAGAGTATACTACTCGATTCAGGAACACACATGTTGATTTCTTCCCGTGGCTTGCGTCTCGCCAATATCTGCACCCGCCTCTACGGTCACAGCCATGTTCTAGTTCGCCATTACCAACCACATTCCATACTCTGTCAAACATGTTCTTGTCTCAATCCGAACGCACTGGTCGCATAATCTCCACAGCTGGCGCGTCGGCAAAAGGTACGGCGTGGGGCTTGCCAACTCGCAGCTTGATCCATGCGCCCTGATCCACATCTTGCGTGAAGAACTTCTGTCTAAGCTCTTCGACGAGCCACGCTAGTAGGCTCTCAATCGTCTGGAATGAGGACCCTGAGATCAGCTGCGACTGGTCAGTTAGCGTCCAGCGCTGAAGCCGAATATACTTACCTCAAACAACAGACTCTCTAGTTGCGGATAGTCGTCGACGCGGGAGTCAGCGATTCCATCTACCCAGATATTAACATCCACGGGCTGCTTTTGCAGTCTCTCATTCGCGTTGACCCCAATTAGGCAAGGAATGCGGACGTTGCGCAAATAAAGTACGCTCGAGCGTGTTCCAGACTTTTCAATACAAGAAGTCTTGTGGCCTGCCCCTTCGCCGAGCATGCTTCCCTTTTGGTAGCACACGTTCGTTTCGATAGCATATATTTCAGTTGAACCTGCAACATCGCGCACACATTGTGAAACTGCAGCTGAAAGCGCAGACGTGCTTGTCCAAGCCGATGTAGCATTCCCAAAATTTGCTTGAATCGCTTTGCTGAGTATACCATAATGGACGGTGCTATCATCGACGGAGTCTGTGGAAGAAGCTGAAGTGAACTGTTTGCCTAGGGTGAGGATGACACTGATAAAGGCCCTTTGCTTTTTCTCACGACCCCAAACATCTTTGCCAGCATTGACAACCACTTCCAGGTTCTGAACCATAATCTTATCGTAGTGCCCACTTTCCACGAGCTGCGCCTCCCATTGCGCCTGCCGCACTATTTGAGCCATGGTTTGTGGGTTACACCAGATTCTCGGACGAGGCAAAAGCTTTGATTGCGCTTTTTTGGCGTCTAAGGGTAAGATCAGGTGAAGAGCTTGTCATTATGTTAGTCACAGCTGTGCCGAAATCTCATATACTCAGCAAGAAAGCCATTGCCTGGATATATAATAACGACTATGCGTCTGCCATCCAAACAGCGCAGATCCGAGCGGCATTGCAAGCCATTTTCCAGCAAGCCACAGCGCTAATGAAATCCAACACCAACTCGAACACCCTCTTGATTATTTCTTGCCAAGTGACGATATCATTGATCTAACGCTGAGGGCAGAAAAAGCACACGTAAAAAGGGCTGAGAGATGTTGGTGTCACTTACAAGCTGGAGAGATGTCACGTCAGGCTGGATGGTGGGGTTGTGACAGGCGCCCTTTCAGCACTCAAGAAGCACGGACGTCTTTCCCGAGCTCCGCAATCGAACATTCTAGCTACACATCAAACTACAATAATTCAAAGCTGCTCCCTCTGATACTATACACAACAAGTAATTCGTAATTTCTGTGCAGGAACAGCTAGATTTTCACATCAACAACATGGCGGACGCACTAAAAGCAGAGGGCAACAAGCTCTTCGCCGAGAAGAAGTTCGCGGAGTCCATGTAAGTTCCCCGCAAACATGGTCCAGCCCACCATTTACTAACAAAGTATAGCGAGAAGTTCTCACAGGCCATCGAGCTCGACCCTACAAATCATGTCCTCTACTCGAACCGGTCGGGCGCATACGCATCTTTGAAAGACTGGAAAAAGGCACTCGAAGATGCAAACAAAGTTACAGAGATCAAGCCCGACTGGTCAAAAGGCTGGGGGCGAAAAGGAACTGCGCTACACGGCGAGGGTGATTTAGGTATGTGAAGCTTGTGACACGGGAGAATTCACTACTGACAGCAGATAGTTGGTGCATCAGACGCCTTTGACCAGGCACTCAAGCTCGATCCCAACAACGCCCAAGCCAAGTCGGGTCTGGAAGCCGTAAAACGTGCAATCGATGCCGAGGCCAGTGCTGATGGTGCAGGACTCGGTGGTATGTTCAGCGATCCAAACATGATCGCAAAGCTGGCAGCCAACCCCAAGACTGCGTCTCTGCTCGCTGATCCAGAATTTATGGGCAAGCTTCAGATGCTGCAAAAGAACCCAAACATGGCAGGCCAGTTTATGCAAGATCCCCGCTTCCTACAGGTCATGAGCGTACTGCTAGGTATTGACATGTCGTTCGGTCAGCCACCAGAAGCCGGAGGCGCAGGTGCAGGTGGTGCAGGTGGTCAAGACGCAAGGGTAGAGGAAGATGTCGAGATGCCCGATGCGCGCCCAGCACCTGAGCAGCCGAAGAAGGAGCCTGAGCCTGAGCCCGAACCCGAACCTGTCGAAGAGACTGAAGAAGAGAAAGCCGCGAAGCAGGCCAAGGCCGAAGCCGATGAACTGAAGAAGAAGGGCACAGAATTCTACAAGAAGCGACAGTTTGACGAGGCCATTGAGAACTACAACAAGGCATGGGAAACCCACAAGGACATTACATACAAGACCAACTTGGGAGCGGCCTATTTCGAAAAGGGTGATTACGAGTCCTGCATCAAGGCCTGTCAGGAGGCTGTTGAGTATGGTCGAGAAATCCTCGCAGACTTCAAGATCATTGCAAAGTAAGTCTTTCGCGAACAACTCACATGAGTATATCTAACACTTCATAGGGCATTTGCACGTATTGGTACCGCTTACGAGAGAATGGGCGATCTCAGCAACGCAATCCTCTACTACCAAAAGGCACAGACAGAGCACCGTACACCCGAGGTGCTTGCCAAGCTTCGCGCCGCCGAAAAGGCCAAGATCAAGGCAGAGAAGGAGTCATACATTAACCCAGAAGAGGCCGAGAAGGCACGCGAACTCGGCAATGCCAAATTCAAAGAGTCGGATTGGCCCGGTGCGGTTGAAGCGTACACGGAGATGATCAAGCGTGCCCCCGATGATCCAAGAGGATACTCTAACCGTGCCGCTTGCTTCATCAAATTGCTCGAGTTCCCATCTGCCATTCAAGACTGCGACGAGGCTATCAAGCGCGACCCCGACTTTATCCGAGCGTACCTGCGCAAGGCCCAAGCATACTTTACCATGCGCGAGTACAACAAGTGCGTTAACACGTGCACTGAAGCCATGGAGCACGACAAGGAGGGCAAGCACACACGGGAGATTCAGCAACAAGAAGCCAAGGCATTGCAGGCACAGTATGCTGCCCGCGAGGGTGAGACTGAGCAGGAGACTATGGAGCGTATCCAGCGAGATCCAGAGGTGAGTTTTGAGATAAGTTAGTGTTTGTTACTTTTTTTTACTAACGAACCTATAGATTGTCGGTATCCTGCAAGACCCGATTATGCAAGCCATCTTGCAGCAAGCAAAGGAAGATCCCGCGGCGCTGCAGGAGCACTTGAAGAATCCCGAGATTCGATCCAAGATCCAGAAGCTTGTGCATGCTGGTGTGATTCGCATGGGACGGTAAAAAAAAAGCGGTCCGATTTTTTTTTACGCCATGACATGAATGCTTTTTTTTCCCTCATGAACAGGATCTTAGATGGCAACATACTTGGGAGGTTTCAAACGGCCGATCGAAATGTATAATGTTTCGACTCCAAGCCCTGAGATTTGTATATTTATATGGATCTTATCCTTCTTTTCTCTTCTTCGTTTCTTCTTTTTTTTTGTCTGCATAGCGATTAAGGTAATGAAAAAAAATAATCAAACAGCCGTGACAACCTTTTCTTCCTGTTTCCATGTTTAGATGTGTATTGTGCCAGTATGCTCATGCTGACTTGAAGTTTCACACTCCAACCTTTCTAACCCGACAAAAGAACAACAGTGTAAAACATGTTTATTATCTTTCTTTCCTACTCTTCTCGCTGCTAACTAAACACCACTAATAAAATCCAACAACCGCAACAACGCCCCATTCTCAACCCTACACCCCTCCCCTTCCCTCTGCGCCCGCCGCAACCCCTGCGCCAACCACACCCGAATCGACTGCGGATCCAGATTCCTAAAGTTTTGCTGCCGAATCAATACGTACGCTTGTGCGCAGAGCGTAGTACTTTCCGTTGGAGAAGGTGGGGGCCGCGTTTTACAGGTTGTGCATTCGGGGTCGGAGGGGGATGTGGGTTGGGGAGTTGTGGTGGTTGGGGGGTCGGAGCAGCAGGGTGGGGGTCCGGCGGTTGGGGTTGGGGTTGGGGTTGGGTTGGCGAGGGAGAGGGGTGCTGGGGTGTCTGGGAGGGCGAGGGTGAGGGATATGTCGGCGAGGGGGGAGAGGAAGTAGGTTGAGTCTGTGGTGGGCGTGGTGGTGGTGGTGTCGGTGTCGGTGAAGAAGGGTAGGTCGGAGATTTGGGATATATCCGGGTAGACGATGTCGTGCTGAGATGTTGGATTACTGTTGCTGGTGTTGATGTTGTCGTTTTGTGCCGGGATGAGGAATAGTGCGGTTTGGTTTTGAGTCGATAGTGGTGGCGTGATGGATATCATGTCTTTTTCTAATATTCCACTTTCCATGTTTCCATCGCCGTATGCGTCTCTTTCTGCGGCTTGTTGTCGGAGTAAGGCGATTTCTGCTCTTGCTTCTACTAGTAGTCTTTCTGTCTCGGCCAGCTTGAGTTCCAGTGAAGCGACGTGGTCGCGTTGGCGGGCACGGTGTCGTCGTTGGTTTTCTCGCACGCGGTTTAGGGTGTGTTCTGCGGATACGCGGGCGCGCTTGGTTCGTGGTGCGCTCGCTCCTGTGTTTGTGTCTGAGGATGAAGGAGATGCTGAAGAAGAAAAAGACATTGGGGAATAGGCTGGTGGTGTTTGGTAAGACATGATGGCGTTTGATGTTTTTCCTTCTTTTTTTCTGTGAAGGGTGTGTACACTGGGTACAGTTACGTGACAAAGTTTGGAGTGGCTTCGTCTTCTATATAAATGTGAGTTACAGAGTGAGGTTTTGTGGGTTTAAAGTGTAGGGCACTCAAAGAGGGTAGGGATGAGGCGTTGAGTGTAAGAGCTTGGCGATAACATATCGATGAGGCCGTTAGTTGATTGGCTGAAAAGCAAAGGCGAAACGACGTCTAGCCCTGGGGATTAGCTCCACTGCAACGGTGTGTTCGTCAACGTCTTCTTCTCTTGCGTGCACTGCTTGGCAAAGCTTAACTCCTGATCGTCTTTCTTCTCGAAAATTGTCATCGTGATTGATTTCGTGCAGCATGCGATGTCATTGAGATCACGTGCTGTGCTACTACATTGGGTGAAACAATCAGGCCTGTCACGGTCCCTACGCTAGACCACGCAAGAAGAGTTTCATCCTGTGATCCATCCACTCAGTATCCTTTTTATTGGCTCCACCACCCGCAATATGACCCCAGATGCTGGGAATGACCTCGACAAGACCGTTTTGCAGGCTCTCGACCTCCCTGTGGCTTACATATGGCCTGAAATACTGATCCATTTCGCATGGCATAAGGAGGACTTTTGCTTTGATGCTCTTTAGTGCCGCCTCGAGATCCCCATCTTTGGTGCAGCGAGCAACATCACCCCGTTGCCACATGCCCAACATGGCCAGCAGATCGTCGGCGGCCCAGCCTTCGTAGCCCTGGATAGTGGTGACATCGTCCCAGTCGCGCAGTTGCTGGAAGCCCATTTCCTTGTAGCATTCCTTGTCGAACCATTCTGCACTCGTTAACCAAGCCGAGTAGGCTTTACCAAAGGCTCTGATGCCTCTTGCTGGACTTGCAGCATGTTCCAACGCCGCCTTTGGGCCTTCGAGAAATTGGTAGTTGTGTCTGCTTGTCTTGGCTGAGGAGCAGATGATGACTGCATGCTTGATAAAGTCGGGATGTGAAACTAGCCAATGGTAGGTGATTTGGCCGCCCATGGAGAACCCCAACATTATATCGACGTCTTTGATACCGAGCTCCTCAGTCAGGAGAGGATATTGGGCATTGATGCAGTCCATGTATTCAATTTGGGAGGGAAAGTTTGGAGTGTTTGAAGGACTGGAGGATTCGCCATTGCCAAGGAGGGCGATGAGGATAATCTTGTGGTTCTTCAAGGCGCCGTCTGCGTATGTTGGGGTGGTGTTGAGGCGGCCCTTGAAACAGGTGTGGACGACTGCAATCTTGGAGTTGTGTGGATTGAGGATCTTGTAGGCTAGTTTGAGCTTGGGTAGTGTGGAAGCATTGTGGAAGGTGAAATCCGAGACCTCATAAGTCTGGAGGGGCTCCGAGGTGGTCTGAGAAGACATTGGTACGCGTGTTGTTGGGGACAGGAATGACAGACTATGGGGGCGGGTGTATTTGGCGGGGAAGAACGACGGAGGGGTAATATGTTTCGGAGGTTATGACGATAGTATGGGTCTCCGTTCCGTCATGGTTAGGTGGAGCCCCACTTGCGGCTCCAGGAAGTGCCAAGTCGAAGCTTCATTCAACATTGTACATATGTGTGTTGATGGATAAGTTGCTCGTCATGAGAAGTGTGCCGGTGTGAACTGCCATGTATGTATGTACACGGCCAAGAAAGCTTCACATGATCTATACGGAGATGACAGGGGTCATGATCTCACGGAGGGGCGCGTGCGGTGTACATTTTTAGACTCTTGTGTGTGTGTGTGTCTGTCCATGTGGAATGATGGCTGACGGAATCGGGCCAGTCACTCTTAGTTTCGTGGCCCGGTCAGATTAAACTCTATGTTTGCGACGCGTGTTGGAGTGACATGGTTAAGGTTGAGATGAGGATGAGGATGATGATGATGATCGGTGGAGGCTCGCGTGTGGCTAGGGAGCTGGTGGGGCAAGTGTGGCATGAGGATTGCAATGGCAATCTCCTTTGGCAGCATGTCCTACTGTTTGTGGCTGGCACATGGTGTGTAAAGGCAGGAGGAATGTCTTGGCAGGGTGTGGTTGGTACGGCAAATGTCGAGTAGGGAGGCCCATCGTCATATCGCTTACTTAGTGCTGAGACCGATATGGCTCCTCTCCGGGCGCTAACAGCCTGAGGCACAGTAAGCACCTTGTTCCCATCTCACATCGCGGTAGGACCCCTGGCCGCCACGGCTCGACGTGTTGGAGATAGACACTATGCAGCCGGTAGGGCAGTGTGTGAGCATACTTGCTGTGGAGTGATTGTGTTCATGGGGCTGACGTCGACTACGGTGGATTGGCGTAAGCTTGCATGGACTTGGCCGCAGGTTTGGCATTGCCCACGGCCCATTTTCACAAAAAGCTAACGTCAAAGGAGGAGCAGACAAGGGGCCACGGCAGCCGACAGGCGAGGTTAGAAGGTGATGATCCTTGTCGCCGCCTTATCACTTCACGCTGGTGGAGCGGATGCTGTCATGTTTCGGGCATAGACGGCTGTGTGGTGTTCCAATTTTGGGACGCTGGACTAAGTGTGTAAGTAAGTAAATTGTAGTCGCTGTGACAGGAGAGGCACACATACTTTCCACGCATGAGGCTTTTTTGTATCGTTGGCGTCGCCGCTGCCGCCGTCGCTGACAGGCAAAAGAGGCTGGCAGACGCTCAGTGTAGCAGCTGTCAAGACGCGTGAAACAGCTGCCATGACCGTCATGGCGCCGGGGCCGCCGTCTTCACAAAGCCAGAGCCCGACAAAATGCGTGCTGACCGGCAAGCCGAGGGTCTCGTATTGTGGGCGCAAGCATATCCACACTGGCGATGTGGTACCACAACAGCAGCAGGCTGCACTGGGGCTGCCACGCGCAAGCTGGCCGGATCGAGTGCAGGCAGTGGAGGCATGGGCATGCGCAATCTCGCTCGGGCGCATTTGCGAGGGCGTTTGGAATGGCAGAGCCAACACGGGCGTGCAATTAGCGTGCACCCTGGCCAATTTGGCCCTGTCGTCTAGCTGCATGTACCCTCTCCGCAACGACGAACGGCTACGCTACTAGGCTGCTGCTACCCTCGCATGGCCCTGCAGCCTGATCTCCTCGTCTCGTGTCGCCGTCCTTTCTTCTCCCCGTCTCTCACTCTCACTCTCACTCTCACTCTCTCTTGTCTTTCTTTTTTTCCTTGCTTCCTTCTTGCACACCCGTTGCTTCTGTTCACATGCATTGCAAGAAGCGCTCTGGCAACTGCATGTGCGAGTGAGGCCGTTTCATATGCTTGGGCCCTGTTAGAGAAGCCCCATCCATCTCCTCCGCCAATCCACCGCCCGCCCCCGCTGCCGCTGCCGCCAATTGAGCCCTGGACGGGACGTCGAAGCCACCTCACTGCTTCGCTGCCCTTGTAACCACGCACGCGACCACATTGCTCTTCCACAAACGCCCTCCACTACGCCTTGCCGGCCCTGTGCCACTATTCCCCCACCTCTGACCACCACCACCTCCACCGCTCCGAGTCGCGCCTGCACACAGCACCATGGTGGACGCACACGAACCCGCCAGTAAGCTCTTCTCCAAGAGCCGCTGGAAGACCAAGATCCTCGACAAGACCAGCGAGCTCGCCGCCGCCAACGCGAAGAACAAGCCCGTTGACAACAAGGTTGACAATGACGACCTTAGCGCCTTCCTCAAGCCCTCAACAGACCGTGCCGCCCAGCAGCTACAACAACAAGAGGCTGCCGCTGCTGCAGCTGCCGCCTTCCTCAACCGCCCCCGCATAGATGTTGCCAGTGCCCAGCGGTGGCCTGGTGCCCAAACCATTCTCAACAGTGCAGCAGCAAAGAGCCCAGGTCCGGGAGGCTTGAAGTCGGGCACGCGCAAGAAGGGCCTCACCGTAGCTTTTGTGCGCACTGTCCCGGACGTCATAGGCCACGGCGGCGACGAGTGTGAGGACCCCGCCATCGAAGTGGCTAAGAACAAGAAGCCCGTGAATGTGCCCGCAGTGGAGCAATTGCCCCCCGAGGTGCCGCAGGACGACACCATCCCCAGCCCCCGCCTCAATGGCATTGGCCGCGCCCCTTCACAGACTGAGTACAGGTCACATGCCCAGACAGAGTACAAGACAAACCTCACCAGGACACGCACAAACCCCGGCGAGCTGTCCCCTCCTCTGAACCAGAAGATGCAGCTCGGCCAAATCACCACCACCGCACAGCTCCCCCCCACCCCGCCGCGCCACTTGGGCCCCATGGGTCTCGGCGAACGTCCCAAGGGCCTCTCTCGTGCGCCAACGGGCTTCGACTCCATGATAGAACCTGGAATGCACCAACCCATGAGGCGGTTGAGCGAAGACTCGGTCTACTCGCAAGATTCAGACAACCTCTCGCCTGTCGTATCCAAAACAATGTCTGCACGCGAACCCACAATTCAAGAGGAGGAGGATGATTTCCGACCAAAATCGCTCAAACGCAGCCAGACTGGCTTCAGCACCGTGGGTGAGCAACTCAATGACGAGCCCGCACATCCTGTACCCACAGTTCCGCAAATGCCCGACATTCATGGAACCGGACATGAAGATGACGCGCATGCTTCTTTTGCAGCAAGAGTCAAGCAAAAAATGCGTTCAGAGGAGGGTAGGACCTTACACGAGGCCGCGCAGCGTGCAGCATCAGGCGAACGGCGGGATTCAGAAGAGAGCTCACAGCGCTCGGTTCCAGGGACGCCCCTCAGCAACTCACAGATGGACTCGAGGACATCACCACGCAGAGGGCTTGATACTGACGACCCTCAACGATCAAGAGCCCGTGGACCATCTCCCGGACAGAGGCCAATGGCATACCCACGCGATATGGACACGCGCGTACCATCATCAGGTTCACCGCAGTATACACCTTCTGTCGCTTCACAAACCCCCGCCTCACCCCTTTCTCGATCCGATCCTTTCTCCAACCCATCTATGCAACGAGCAGCCTCGACCGCCGACAAGCCCCATCCCCAAGCGTTTGATGAAATGCCTCGTGTCTCCAGCCCGCCTCAACCTTTGGCAGGAACATCAACTTTTCAACAACAGTCCTCGCCACCGTCCTCGATACCTACAGCGCTTGCAATGCCGTCAGGGCCACCAGGTGCTCAAATGGCATCACGCAGTGCTTCTGGAGCCACAAAGCCTGCTACCTCACTCGGTCGCTCTGACACACAATCTGCGAACGAGCTGGCATATCGCGACTTTGCTGAGCGCATAACCCACATGAGAGGCATCTTTGAACTAACAGCCCAGCTTGGCGGCAACATCTACAATCATACTCCTATGCAATGGCTCCGGGTCGCCACTTGGTGGTTTTTGAAAGGACGTACTGGAATGGAAAATCTTATTAGGAGCCAACACAAGTCCGCCGACCCACCACAGGAGCGGCTCGCCCAGCCTCACGTCGATTTGGCCAAGGTGTGGTGGATCATAACTAAAGTCCTGCCAAACCACCCTGGCCTGCAAAAGTACGGCGATGGATCTCCCGACGCTCAAGTCGAACTCGCTCGACAGGCAGGTGATGCTGCGGGCGCAGAGGTTTATGACATCCAGAATGCCATTGGCCATTACATGAAGTTGCTGGTCGGATCGATGAAGAAGCACCATAGCATGCCTCCTACGCAGGCCCTCATCCAGGGCCAGGACCAGGCGATATGGGAAGAATACCCATCATTTGCTCCCGATGCCGCCACTGTACTCAGCTCGGGGCTCGCCGGCCAGCCGGGCGGTCAGCAACAGGTCAGCCTTTCGCAGTACATTCCTCTTTCCGACACCAAGACCGAATTTTGCTACTTCCGCATGTTTGTCAAAGCTTCGTTATCGACCGATGACCCCGCCACTGATCGCGTGCCAATGAATGTCGTCTTGTCCGTTTTGCGACCCAAGGAGGAATACTCGGCCAAGCTCGCCATTTGTAGTCAAAACAGTCTAATCAATATCCTGGTTGGTCCGGGCTCAGCCATCACATGGAGAGACGTCAACTGGAAACAACAAATGAACCAGATTACTGTACAGCTACGGCACGGATTTCTTCTTACGCTTGCCCTGCATGAAGCGGATTTCCGTAGTCTATGGTCGATTGTCAGTCACACGAGCCGGGTAGAGTCGGATCTGCGAGAGCGAAGAGACGAACGATTTGCCTGCAAAATGTACCTCCGCGAAGCCACATACAAGGACCCAGCGAACCCATCCATGTTCTCCCAAGAACGAATACCAGGCTGTAGGCTACTAGTGTTCCAGAGGATTGAACTTAGCAGTGAAGGTACTGGAAAGCGGAAACTGCATCGAGGTTACCGAATGGTACTGGTCACGCCGCAGCAGCACAAACAAGTCAGCTTGGTCAATCATGAGCTTGGAACCAAACAGGAGCCCATGAACTTTGAATACGTCACCGAACCTGATCAAGCTCCAGCCCTGAGATTACGTTTCCGCGAAGAGGGGCCGAACAAGCAGTTCAGGATCTGCATGGCGCACCTAGTCTTCCAAGAAGGCAAGGATCGCAATAACCTCTTTGGTACATTCACTTCGATGAACGTTGCGCCTGGCGAAACCACATTTGCTCAGGTCGCGCTCAAAGGATTTCACATTGAGAGTGCCGATGAGACCGAGGGCTTCAGCCAAAACGGGAGTCGCGTACTCGAAAAGTTGCAGTGGGTCGAGGCCAAGGTGATGAATCAAGATCCTGAAGCTTCAGGATTGGAGTCGGCGCCTACCGTCATGAGTGAGAGCTTGAGGATTATGTGCAGACATACTGCAGGTATTGTCTCTGACCGTATGAACTTGGGTGAGTTTGCGTTACTTTTCTGGGTGTGTGTGTGGGAAAAAGATTAACAGATTCTAGGTCCAGGTGAACTTTTGGTTCGCCTTCCAGTCGATGGTTCTCCCGAACTTACGTTGCTCCGCGAACCTCAACAAGACATGGCTGTTGCCATTGATGGCAGTCGAACCGATCCCGCTGTTCCTGAAGATCTCGCAAAGTTGCTCCAGACGCTCACGAGCGCGTCAACGATTCGACGCCTGACATTTAACTCGTTTAATGATTTGCATACATTCCAGCTTGCTGTTACTGGGTTCCAGGTCAAGTTTGACGGACTAGCAGCTTCATTCTCTATTTCGCGTCGACGCATGGTTGTTCCCATTTACAAGCAGTGGACCGCCAACCGACTCCGTCTCCAGATTGTCGAACAAGACAACATTGTCCAGCTCCTCGCCTTCTTCGAGGACTTTTCGCATGCCGACGCCATGAACTTCCAACTCCGTCTGACTGACACATTTGAAAAGTCTGACAAGGGAGGCAAGTTTGGCTTGAAGCTCGTCGATGCCAAGTTTGCGCTGCCCGTGGATGAACGACGAGGCGAGGGCAAGATACAAAAGGCCGAAGGCAGACTGACGGGATGGTCTGGTGTCAAGAGGCGCTTTGTGTGCTTGGATGAGATTGAATATCCCGGCGAACATGACGATATTCTCATCATGTTTGACTCTGCAGAGAGTAAGTGTTTTCCTTGTACCCTTTTGAGGATTGATTTGGACGACGGACTGACATCAATTTTAGCGCGTGATTGTTTCGCCGAAGCTCTCCCCGCTGCAACCATGGAGCGCAAATTCACTGTGCGTAGGAAGATTTAATCGGCGTGGAGCTCTACTTGGTTGTATCTCTCTCATCCCATCTTTCTCGCTGCTACAAAGCATACATGCTTTCCTTTGTATAGCAAAGTCCAAATGGGTAAGTTCACTTGCGACTTGTTCTTTTTTTTCCTCGTTAGTTCTCCCTTTTTCTTCATTTCCTTTCCATTGTATGGATAGAGGGTGCTTTTTGGTGGGGGTTTTCTTGTTTCTGGCTAGGAGTTTATGGCGACAATATCAACGGGAGCTCATTATATGATATCACCACATCCCCCAAAGGATGAACGGGGCTGGTCAAGGGAGAGAGGAATTTTGTCTTGTCCCTTGTTTTTTGTTTTTGTTTTTCACAAGTCCATGCCAACTTGTTTCTTGTAGCTCTCTTGCGTCTCTTCTAAATCCAAGTTAGCCTGACTGCGTCTCTGTTCTTTTTTTCTTCTTCTTCTATTCGAACTTGCGAGTTTCGAGGTCTGGAAACCAGATTGATTGGTACGGGAACGGAATGTCAAAGTTGGTCACTAGCCAAAAATAGGTATGACAAAGGGCTATTTTGAGGTGAGAGAGTTAGTTGCTAGTAGAGCAAAGCAAAGCAGAGAAAGAGCAGAAGATGGATGCATCATTGAAGTAGTGCAAGTATAAAACAGACAGGAAGAATGCAAAGTATTATTATACTACTAGATACTTGGTATGATATCAAAAAAAAACGGGGCAGTCCAACAGGTGGGGGCAAGTTCCCTTAAACTGCAAAAAGTATGGCAAGAAAGAATCAAACTGAGGTATCCAGGCAGATTGATGATGATGAGAGTCGTTAATCGTCGTAAAATGCGGGTTGCGAGTTTAAAAACAAGAAAAAAAAGAATAAGGGATATATGTGCGTTCATATTGCCAGAAAGCAAAAAAAAAAGCAGGGTTTGCAGAGGAAAACATGTGGTATCCAGAAGAAGCGAGGTTTGCGTGAGTTAGAAACGGCATGGCAGGGGTATGAAGATGGAAAGAGATTGCAATGTAAAACAAGACAAGAAGCTGGAGTGGTAGCTTTAGAGTGGCAAACCCCTTCCTCCTCCTTCACGCCCATGCTCTCTCTTTCCCTCATCTACTGCGAGATGGGCGAGTCAGGCGTCACGGGATCGACATAGTACCTGTGTCCAATACTCCGTCTAATCTTCTCTCTCCTCTTCTCTGTGCGCCGTTCCTTGATCTTCTCTTTTACTCCAGATATTCCAATGTATTGAACATGGTACTTCTTCAAGCCTGGAATGCTCTTGCCTTGTCTCCATGTGCCGCGGCGACGGCGAGACTGCTCGTATTCGATTGAGAGGTTATCGGGGACAGACGAAGTGCGGCGGAGATCGTGGTTAGAGCGGCGTTTGGTGATACGGCCACCACCATGCCGTCCCAAAGGTTGCGTAGGAGCTTGAATGCCGAGTTTGGGTGAGGATGAGGAGCCATCACTAGATGACCGAAGAGACTGGGCAATATGTGGGGGAAGATTGACATGGTGTCGGCGTTTATTCGTGCCGTGGCGCTCAACACCAAGGGAATTACCGATGAGGAAACCACCCGACCCGCGAAGGCCGCCCTTTAGCTTTTTAAGAGTATTGGCGCGTCTTGGTGCTTCTGGTTCAGGTTCTGGATCTTCAACGTCGCTTGTGTCGCCTCCTTGTGGGAGTCTTTCGTCTTCCTCGCCATCATCCTCACTGTCGGAGAATTCATCCCAAAAGCCGCGTGGACGCCAAAAAGGATGAAGTGTGCCGTCCTCGTCGTTCACGGTGGAGGCTTGTGGATTACGGTACGCGAGTTTTTCCTCTTCATTATCGTCACGCGCACGACTGGCCCCTTTGCGAGTCAACAGCGGTGTAATGAGGTTATCAGAATAACGGCGCGCTCGCTGCAGAACAGACAAGCGGCGTTGTGGATTCGAGTCGGAACGACGAGGCGGTCCAGGTGATGGAGCCATTGGCTTCTCCAGTTCCTCCATGGGCGTTGGAGGGATAAAGTTAATCATAGGCGGCTCTGGGGGTTCTCGAGGATTTTCAAGCGGTAACTCAACAGGGTTACCATGTAGAGGATCAGTCTGCATTGGAGGGGTCGAAGGCTCGAAAGTCAGGGTCGGTTGCTGTGATTGTTCTTCATTGCTGTTTTGTCGACTAGTCGCAGGGGGTGATACCACGGCTGGTGTAATACGGGGATCCTGCGCGGTCAAGTGTGAAGCTCCGGTCACTTGGCGCTGTTCCTGCAGCATCGAGTTTCCACGAGCAAGCTGTTGCACGACTAGGAGAGAGTTGTTGTTGTGGGGAAATATGCTCACAGCAGTAGCCTCAGTGACTTCGACAGTGTCGGAAAACTGAGAAAACGGGGTGGATTGAGAAAAAAGATGCCGGGCCATGGCGTGTTCTTCGGTCCGTGAAGCTGAACGTGAACCTGACCGATCGAAGCTGATACTTCTCTGGTCACCCGACCAACGGTGCCAATCGGGCGAGGCTGAGGAACGGTCCAAGGGGAGGGAGAATCGCTTTGGGTCCCAGGAGCCTGGTCGTGATGAGCCCGGCCTTGACGCGCGAGAGGCTGGTCTAGAAGGACGCGAGCCTTGTCGCATAATGGGCGATCCATCCTTGAGGGGCGGGAATTTGTTTAGGTTCTCCAGGGTAGCAGGGTTGGGGTTGGAGGCAGCAACCAGAGTAGCGCCTTCGGCGGTCTCGCGGTCCCCAAGAAGACGTCGGACCCGATCAAGCATGGCAGATGGCACCTGGGCTTCTTCCACAGGGTTACTTGTACCAATAGAGACGTCGCGGTCAACAGGCTCTTCTGTACCCGGACTGGACAGCTTGGGAGGGTCATTTTCAACTCCAGTTGGCAGATTCGGATCAGTGACAACAAGCGACTGTCTCACTTTTCTCGACGTTGGTGACATTTGACGTGGCTTTGGCGATATAGGCGGCGATGGTGCGCTTGGAAGCACAGGTGGCTGAGTGAAAGGGTTCTTTTCCTCATGCGGGCTTGCAGAAGGCAGTATTTCTGAAAAGTTACGAGGTTTCGAGGACCGAATCGTGCGTCTTGCAGTTTCAGGGGCAGAGTTGATGCGCTTGTGATGGCTCCCACTCAGCCTCGCTGCTGCACTGTGTCTGCTCAATATGTCGGCCGCAGGCTGTAGCACATGGCGGACAGACTCTTGGTGCGCTAGGGTGTGTGCTGAGCTGTCAATGGTCCTCTGTCGCAGTGACAATGAAGGGGACATGATGCGATGCGATGATGAAATGTCTGACACAACACTGCTTCTGCTATTCCGGTCAGCAATGCTTGTCCTCTTGTGCACCAAACGATGGACCGGGGCGCTGTCGGCCTGCGATACAATGGAACTGCGGTCTGAGTGCGTGAGGGAGCCAACATCTGTCGAGGAGCTCATGTCTCTCCTGTATGCCATGTTCTTGCCAGAGTGTCGCAGGGTTTGCTTCCTTTGGGGCGGCGTGACTATGACCTGGGCCGACACTACAGTGGAGGCTACGGACGCAGTCGAGAGCCGCTTGCTGCTGGCCTCGCGCTGCTTCTCTGATGACATGCGCCTGTTTTCAGAGGGCCAGCCAATGGATTGCGCAAAGTTTTCGACGGATGGCGTGGTTGGACTGCTGTGGCCGACTTGGACGCGTTTGCGCAGACTCGAGGCACGTCGGGCTCTGGTGGGAGAGGGCGAGGCGGTTTCGACAACGGTGACGGCAGGTTCGGGTGTTTTACGAGGAGATTTTGATTGCGGTCTGCGCTTCTTCCGGACCGTGACATTGCGCATCAGCTCTGTGTTCCATTCGCGGTCTGGGATGTCGTCCATGGTCGGGGTTACCTTGTCGGGGGTTGTATCCACCGTACCCACATCTTTGGCTGTATCCACCTGTTTAGTAGGGGTAACGGGAAAGGAGGGAGCTTGCAGGGAAGTTGGGGTGACATCATTCTTGTCCTGTTCAAAAGCAAGACCGAGTCCGTGGTCTTCTTGGACGGTGCTGAGCCTGTCAGTGGGTGGTGTTGCACAGGTGCTCTCTTCGCGGTCCGAGGAAATGGGCTCTTCTCTTGCCGTCTGGAACGAGGTGGCTCGGGACGAGGGATACGTATAGAGTGGCGGGCGCTCGAGGGTGGCGTTGGAGCCTTCAGAAACGTTTCTTCGCGGCGGACTTGGATCGGGTGTTGGTGGGCTTCTGGCATTGACGGGGGTGCTAAGGGACGACTTTTGTGATATAAGAGAATTTCTCACGCTGTCGGCATGGGGTGGCGGCTGCTGCTGCTGCTGCTGCTCGGGGGTGGGAGAAGATTTGCCATCTTGAGAGGCCGTGGGTGGTGTGGGCGGGAGGCCGCTGTCTGCTCCATTCAGCCCTCCCGGTGAGGCGAGCAGGGTGCTATCCTGGCTGCAGACGGTGGAGTCGCTGTCGTCGGTAGATTGTGACGTATACGAGTCGTCGCGCTCGAGGGATGGTGGGAGTGGACGGGTTGGGTCGCTGCGGCGCGGGAGCTGTTTGGACTGGCGGAGGTTGGGAGCAGCGTTGAAGGCCGACTCGAGGCGGGCATAGACGCTGGGCGCAGGTTCAGCCATGTCGCAATAAAGAGGGCGATGGTCGGTCGTCGTGTGCCTGGTGGTGGACCCTGGTGGCCGCTGCAAGGTGGCAGTTGGTCTGGCTTCAGGACGAGGCCATGGCGTCGGGGCGCAAGAGGGCAGGGGGCTCGTGGTTACGTGTAACGGCGGCGGCGGCGTCGGTCGGGGGCCAGCGGTGCCTGGCGGCTATGTAGGGGGCCGCGATGGCAGTGCGGTTGGCCGTGGGCTCTGGGGAGGAGATGGTGTGGTGGTGACGCAGGTAGCCTTGAAGGTGCAGCGCCAAGGCCGGCGTTCACGATAGAGGACAGCGGGCGCACAGCTGGGCGAGGGTGGGTGGTTGGTGAGGCGGTGAGTATAGCGGCAGGCGTTGATGCCGTGGATGCCGATGGAGTTTTTATCGTCGTGGCGGTTGTCGCCGTCGTGGCAGGGAAGCGGGGCGGTCGAGGAGGAAGAATTGCAGCCAAGGGGGACAGGCGACGGTGTGCGTGGGTGGGCGAGGGAATGCAGGGCAGGGGAGCGGAGCGACGCTGTGCTGTGTCTGTGTCTGTGTGTCGATGCACACACAGACACACACAGATTGGTCTGGGCATGGCATGAATGGCGGCTTGCATGCCGTGCCATGCCATGCTATGCTGTGCTGTGCTGTGCTGTACTGCGTGGCCCGCCCAGTCCCGCTGCGACATTTACCTACATGTTATACTTGGTATACAATTAACCCAATGCAATTCAATTCCCCTCCTCTCTTCGCAGGTTCATGTCTAATTGCCCATTGTTGCTCTCGACACTCACTACTACGTCAAGTAAATACACCCTGTCGTTGGGCGTGGAGCGGCTGGCGGGCGCTGACAGCATCAATCAATGCCCCCAGCACCTCCGTCGTCTCCTCATTCGCCTCAACCACGACGCCATCCCCTTCACCCCAACCATTCTGCGTCACTTCCATGCATCCCCCTCTTTTCCCTCGTCCCTTGTGCACACCCCCTTACGGCTGCCCGCATTCACCTTGAATCATGTGCTTTCCATCTCCCACCCCAGTTCCAGACCATGCCCTCTCTCCTCTAGACTCGGGCCAATCGGGCACGCATACATAAGTACATGTATCCTCCCATGTCCATATCTATGTCCACGTACAGCTGGCCATGGCCTGCATCTACCCCCTCGACTCTCTTCGGTCCTTCACTGCGCAAAACTCTGCAACAAGCTCCAGGCTTGTGCTCGTGTGGCGTCGCGCCATGGCAGCCACAGCATGATGTTGCTGTCGCCAGTAAGCAATCAACATCCGGCACTGAAATTTCATCCAATACTAGCCGACAGACTTGCATATGTCGACATTGTCTTTTCCACGTATCAGCCTTGTACTACACCACCACGTAAGCCCATACTCATCAACACCACCCCAACTCAACTCCCCACAGCTATGACAAGACAGAGCGTCACAATGCCACAATGCCACCATTTTTCTGTCATTAGAGCCTCAATACCTCATTGTTACAATCTACAAGGATGCAAGTGACGTCAGAGCAATCAATGCCATTCTCATCATTACCTCTAATCTTTATCACTGTGGATCCTAGCAACCTCCAACACGGATATAGCAATGGCCCAGCCAAGCACTGCACACAACACCACACCACACACACATACCGTTTCATTTTTGTACTATTTTTTCATTACATGATTTCAATTCTTTTCCAAACATGCATGCCATCGCAGTCACCCAATACGGTCCAATATCTAATATAAAAGCAATCAATCTCCCAACCCCCTCAGACCCCCAAGGCCATGACATACTCGTCCGCGTTAAAGCCTGCTCCATAAACCCAGTCGATACAAAGGTTCGAGCAGGAACCTATGATGATTACCCAGACTACTATGACCGAGCCCCTAACCTGCCTCAAATTCTCGGCTTTGACGGCGCTGGCATAGTCGAGAGCGTCGGGTCGGACGCTGCACATTTCAACCCCGGCGATGAAGTTTACTACTCTGGCTCGCCCATCCGCCAGGGAAGCAATGCAGAATTCCAGCTTGTAGATTCACGAGCAGTCGCGCTCAAACCAAACAGCTTGGACTGGGGCCAGGCTGCTGCTATGCCCCTAACCTGGATCACAGCCTACGAAGCCCTCATCGAACGAATGGAGATTCAGCGAGGTGAAAATGCCGGCATCCTCATTATCAACGGCGCAGGTGGTGTCGGCAGCGTCGCCAGCCAGATTGCGCGGCATATCCTCAATCTACCCGTCGTAATCACCACAGCATCGCGAGACGAAACAGTCAAGTTTTCAAAGGACGTCGGTGGTGCCACACACACCATCAACCACCACGAGGACATCCCCACCGAGATCGAGAAGCTCAAACTAGACGTCCCAATCAAATATGTCTTCATCACCCACACCCCAACATCAGGCTACCTCGCTCCTGCAGCAAACATCTGCACCCCCTTTGGAAAAGTCTGTTCAATCGTTCAAGACAAGGAAATGCCCATGTATGCTACAGAGTTCATGGCAAAGAGCCTGACGTTTGTTTGGGCTCTGCTAGGTACGAAGCCCTACTACGGGGTTGATGTCGAGAGCCACGGTAGGATTTTAAAGCATCTAGCGAGAATGCTAGATGAGGGGACGGTCAAGTGTCATTGTATGCAGAAGCTTAAGCTGGATGAGGAGGGAGTGAGGAAGGCGCATGAGATTATTGAAGGTGGTAAGGCTGTTGGCAAGGTGGCGCTGGAGTTCTGAGTGTGGATGGTTGTATTGTTTAGGATTAATGCGTTGGATGGTACAGGCAATCTGAAGTGGTTAGATATAGTATTTCAGTTGAGACAGTTGTGTACTAGTTAAACAAATAGAAATTAGGAAAGTTTCCTCAGTACTAAAACTCAAAAACTTTCTATTTACAGTTTTAGAAAATCTAAAAGAGAGATAATGTATCATATGAAACTTGTCTTTAACATCTAAAAAATTTACCCATCCCCTAGCACTATGATAAAAGAGTCTTGGTATTCTAAAGAAACTACCCACTACGCCACCCCTCCATCCAAACAAACACTTTACCCAATCCCCAAAGCACCTCCACTCTTCCCCCTACTTCTCAAGCGCATACCAATTCCACAACCCCACAAGCCCCTCCTTGCTATCCCCCAACACCGGATCCTTATCCGGCACAGGCACCGTCCAAACATGCTCCCTCCCCCTCTCCCCTCCAATCTTAAAGTCCCACACACCCCCATACGGATACGCCCCCATCATCATAAACTCGCCCTTAATCGGCACCGCCTCAAAGAACCTCCTCCTCTCCTCTTCAACCTCACCATTTACCACCGCCGCCCTCCCCCCCGCAACATCCGCAGGCTGATGAAACGCCAATTCCCCCGACTCAGGTCGCGGCGCAAACGTCTTATGCGCCACACCCGCTGGAACAATGAAAACATCGCCGATTCCCGCCTCGATATCTATACCGCCTTCCTCACCCTGCTCGCCTCGCTCCCCAGGCGCATACGCACCCGCCGTCCATCCGGGCGCGTCGGCAACGCCAAAGCGGATGGTGGCGCCCTCACCCGATATAACCGTCATGGCTTCGTGCGTCGTCGAGTGGTAGTGGGATTGGATGTCTGGTCCGTACTTTGCGATCCATTGGGTTTGCCACCCGTTTTTCGCATAAACATCTAGCAGTTGCGTGGGTGTGAAGGTGCGGCATGTCACGGTTTCTTTCAAGAGGCCTGGGTAGTGCAGGAGGGGTTGGGGCGAGTTTGGGATGAGAGGGGTTGGGGGGAGGGTGTAGGAATGCACGGTTATGGGCATGTTGGGGGGATTGGGGGAGAATAGGATTTGCGTGTTTTTGGCAGGGTGAGGTAAGGGTAAGAAGGTGGTTTGGTTGATGTGGTGGTTGTGAACGGGTAGGATTGCCTGAATGGGATGGTTGCGGCGCGGAAGTGACGTAGGGACTTGAGCATTTTGGAGTACAGGGACATGGGTATGGCTTTGTGACTATCCGTCTTTACATAATCATGTTCGTCTTATGCCTATAAAAACTAAAAAGAATAGTTAGTTATCCGATTCCTGAACAACGTTTTAGCATTAAAACGAGTTCTTTCAACTTCTAAGATGCAGAGAGGAGTTTTTAAGTTTTAGTGTACTAGAATAAGCTTTCTTTGTTTCTTCTTATTTAACCGCTACACTACTTCTAGGCTGTAAAATACTGTATCAACTATTTCAGCGAACTACCGCATATTTAATAAAAATCTATCATCACAAAACATGCGATTAAACAAGCTCTCAGCTACCCACAAAGTCCACGCTACGACCTTCATCCTCAACATACCTTGTTCCATTACTATGACACAAATACTACTAGAACCGTTGCATATCTACCATAAACTTAGTTTAACTACTCTTACGTATCACGAAAAAAGGTGGGATCTTGCACTTACGCAGTACCAGCAATGAACAACGGCACCGTATCCGTTTTGCCCAACATCGATAACATAGCGATGACGAGCACAGTTGCAAAAAAACAACAACTACCATGCGACTCTTCTCTCCATCCAGTAAGCTGCAGACCAGAACCGGTGCAACGAGGACGGTGACGACGATACACGCGATGAGAAAACGTGTTATGAACGCGCTGTGTGAAACGTTGAAGATGAAGATGTTGGAGTCGCGGGAGATTGATCGTTTTGGTCCCTGGTCCCCCCCCCCCCCCCATTTAGTACTTTACTGATGTCTTGTGAGAAGATTATGCAAAAATCAATGTGACATCAAAAACAGCTAATGAGCGATGCTATATGTGACCTAACCTTTTTAAAAAAACACTCAACCACAGATATAATGCAATTTTTTTTTCAATCCAGCATTCCAATGCCTCCACGCCCAACTTCTTTCTCTGGCCCAAGCGTCATCAAATCACGGTCTCGGGATAGATACCTCGCGTTCGTTGCGACCGAGACACGCAGTGTTACTAAGAAAGTTTCTCAGACTCTAGATGCTGCGGTGGGATGCGTTGGTGAATGCTAAGAATTATCTTTTCCTCATTGCACAAATGCATCCAAGTATATGTCCATCAGCAGCACCTCTCCGCCCAATTACTACAGTTTTCTTCTTCTTTCCTTGATAACGACGATAGATGGTGCAATTAACCATAATCTGCTAATCTTGTGTCTAGTTCGGCCAACAAGGCAAGTCTTTTTGCTGTTTTGATCCAGTTCGACTGCAACTGAGGAATATTTGGGGCTTGCTCGTCGTAATCGGTGGTCTCAAGTTGTTGCTCGAGGAACGATATTTTGTCCTGCTTGAGTAGCAAAAGTCGGGCGCGTACGGTGGAGAAACGGCGGCAAATGTGGAAGCAGCTGTCTGCGGCGATAAGGGCGGATAGTTGTGGGTGCCCTGAACGGTAGTCTTCGACTAAGGACAATTATTAGATACTCGTATGGGGCGAGGGTTGCTGGAGATGAGCGAATTACTTTGGCGTTCAGTCTGCTGCGAACATGTGTTTGATTTCAAACTAACGAGGGCTTTTATGCGGTTGAACAGTGAGTGGTATCGTTTCGGGCTTGGCATATCTGGTGTAAATGCTGTAGATAATTAGCGATGCAAAAATGAGTGTCGGGATATTTGTAGTTTCCTCCGTTGCTAGGACTGGCTAATTCGATATCTGCAGCTGTATAAACCTGTGCCATGACCGAAAGTTGTTGCCCTAGAGAGTCTTTCCAACTAGTACATTGACCTGTGTAGGAAGAAGTATTTGAAATTACGTCCCTGCGTGGAGTGATGTTTCAAAGTATTCTTCTTGCATTATTATAGGCAGCCACTAGACGTCGAACACCTGGGCACCGTTGGCTATAGCTTGCATGAATTCACTTTGCCACGTCTATCTACCCAGCCCTTTGGCGTCGTCAGCCGGCTCCTTCAGCCTCCCCGCTCCATTGTTTCGTTTTGCAATCTTCACGGTAATTATAGACCTAAGATGGTAGACTACTATGATAATGATCGACTAAGATATATCGACTTTTGAAGATTTCAGTCAGGCTGCTGCTGGGATTATATATTACTAGCGCGCGTATCCTATCCACGACCATGACTTCCGCAGGAGTTGTTGCCTTCACCTACTATCTACATAACCTATAGACATACATAGCCATGAGTCTCCTCGAGGAGTAAGCGTACGCTCATGCATCTGTAAACGCTTTAGCATTATTTAGGGATGATGTGCTGTCTCAGTTTGTAGTTGATGACAAGCCTATACGCCCATGGATCAAACTGTCAGGCGCTGCGCTGACTATATATACTATCCTGTGCAGAGCATCAGCAGAACGCTGATTACTCGTACCTTTTTGGTTGTTGCAGCACAGTGGCACAGGGCTGAGCTGCTAACACAAACAAGGCACCAGCGTACGTACGACTGAAACTCATGTCGGAAAACTGTCTTTAACTTTGACAGAGTCCTTCCTTTGAACCTGAGGGTCGAGTATTCATCAAATTATCCGAAACAGCAAAAGATGGGCACTACCTTGTCGAAACCTTTGATACTGGGATGAGACAATACACAATATGCCTCAACGATGGATAAGGAACGACTGCTCTTGGCGGAAAGAAGTTTATGGGGGAATCTCTATTGCCTGGTTAACAATTTCACTTCTCAAGCTCGCTCTGTACTATGCGCTACAAGAAGTTTTTACAATAAAGTCTTGAGTCGATCAATACTCGGTATTTCGTGACAGATTCCGATTCGAATCTGCGAGCTAATGAATCGAATTTCGTATTCTTTTGATGTACTCTGCCATGCTCGAGCGGGAGCCATTGCTGCGCCCGGTCAGCTTTGGAAGGAGCTGGGAAGCGAATGAGGTTGGTTGGCTAGTGATGAATATCTGTAGGACATCCTGGTAGGAACGTTTTGCGCCTTCAATTCTTCTGAAATCTCCATCTCTAACTCGCATTCATCCACTTCATAAGGTGGAATGACTATGAATCTTCCTTCTCCTTCTGATAGTATGTTCATGATTTCCCAACACGAAGTAAGGTTCGGGATTGCAAAATATAATGGTGCGCTGGAAAGATTCTGGACACGTGTACTGATGTGATTAAATTCACCGAGTTGTAGCATTCCATTTTGACGAGCCGTGCAGTTACTGACGCTCTCAGCCGTGATTTGGAACTTTTTGATCTATTTGGTCGTTTCGGCATGATTCCGGATTGCTTCGAAGTATCTGAATGCGCCAAGATGTTCCAGCAGGGACTCGATCTCATATACTGCTGAAAATAGGACTGATTTAAGCATTCGAAAGATATTACGAAGCGAGCAAAATTCGAATCAAGTACCGAAGATATGGTACAAGCTATCAAGGCATTTGTGGAATGCTCGATGATATCCAACCGTCACAATTACAAAGAAATATCTGCAAGGTTCAGACGCCTCGATCCAGAACTAGAGGCAATGCTTGATAGGCCCTATGATAGAGGGCTGTTTGAACAGATCGTCGAACCACTGCGTACACTTTGGATCACGCTACTAGAACTCGGACAAAGTCGACGGTGGCATGTCGTGTCAACTAATACTCACATTGCTCGATATCCAGACAGTGATCTTGAAGTGACTGATAGTTTGGACGATGTCGTAGAGGGAATTGACCATTGGCAAAACTATTTTCCTGACAACTCTATGGTCGTTTCCTGGTACCTTGGCCTTGTAGAACGCCATGCCGCCAGATTCCTAGCTACTGAAAACATCAAAATTGTAGATCAACTCATGAAAATTTTGTCATGGATACGCTTCTCGTTAAGAAAATACCTGGAGGATGAGATGTTAGCTAAAAAGTTATGGGAGGTTTGGATAAAGTGCATGCAGCGCTTCTGTAAGCAGAATGCAGACTTCCGCGATCTTCATCGAGCAGTCAGAATCTACGATAAGGTCCAGGACGAATACTGCGTTGATAATGCAAGAATTTTCTATGAGACTTTGAGGGATGAAGGGATTTCAGACGACGTGGTGTGTCTTGGTCTTCATAGGGCAACGATGACTCTAAGGAACAGGACTATTGGCACACTTGTCAAAGTGGAATCATCTTTGACAAAGACGAGTGTGGATACTACCAAAGTAAGGGTTCGAACATCGTTTAGTGTACAGTGACTGATGAATTTAGGTTACAACTACCGATGGCTCACAAACGGTTAACGAAACTTCAATAGATCTAGGTGGTGACAATAAGGCTTCTATTACCTCAAACATGCGGACGGCTAAACTAGTCAGTAGACTGGCAAAGCAAGGGAATAAATTGCACCCGCGTTATTGGGCCCCGTATGTTCATTTTGGGTTATAGCACCTTTATTCCTCTAGATATCACTTGGAGTAGATCATTTGGAGTAGGGTCAGAAATGATAGATAGAGATACAGAACCACACTAATCTAACTACGAATTTGGACCTACTGCTTTAAGTGTTATCGACGGACCTATGACGAAGATAAATCTAAAATGAAAAAGGCCTTGAAAACACATCATGCCAGCCGCCTTCAACAGATCACTTCGCACCAGAACCCCTCTCTGCCCCACGATGCACCATCGTTCTCTTCCGCTCCACCGCCGGGTCCAGAAAAGGCGACGGCGTAAGCAGAGGATTATACGAGACCACTATCACCACTGTGTCAATACTAACACACCAAAACACAACATACAATCTTACACGCCGACATACCTTTTGCTTTATGCGGCTCGGTGTCAAATTCTACTTCACCCCGCGACTCAGCCGTATTTTGCACCGACGTTGACGTCAGAGGTGTAGTAGCTTTCTTCAAGGGCTGCTTTGGGAGGAGTGGGTGAGGCATTGGGATCTTGAACGCTTGCCCTTTTATATATGTGTATATATTTGCTTCGGGGATAGCGTGCGGAATATCGGATAGCAGCAGCAGTAGTTTCTGCGGCCCGCTGCACCTTTATGATCCGTGGTACTGGTACAACGATCGAGTTTATGTTTTTTGGGGTGACGACGCCAAGGGCGGGCGTGAGGTACGTAGTACAAGATCGATTGACATGTGGAGCCGCGGGTACGTGCCGAGGGTCGGCGGAGACGCTAGACCGAAACAGGAGGGGTTCATGCTTTATCGGATGGTCATGATGATGTAAAGATTTGGATATGCACAATATCCCATGTTTTGGGAAAGGTTGACAAGAACGCGTAATCAAATTTCAGATAGAGATTCAATATACGGGAGCAAGAGACAATTGTCAGAAGTCGATAGAGACTTCATTGTTCGTGATATTATTCTCATAAGTAATGGTCCAGTCCTTCCCGTCCTCGAAGTCATGGTGGTATCTACAATCCGCTCTTCTCGTTCTTCTCGTCGCGTACGCTCAAAGTATCGACTTTCTCGGCATCGCCAATCTCCCTGCCGCCCATAAAGTTGCTTTCCTTCATGTTGTTCAGTGCGTCTTCCTGTTTATCGGCCTTGCGGAAAGTCATCCAGAAACCAATGCCACCACACATGGCAACAACAGCGACGGAACCGTAGTTCCATACCAGCAGAGGATCTTCAGACAAACTGACAAAAGCCTGGCCCAGCGCGGCGGAAAATGCAGAAGTGGATAGGGCGATAGCCTGAATGGTTGACTTCATGTTGCTAGGGGCCTTGGTGTAGGCGTACTCAAGCTTGGTGATGGATGCCATAATCTCGGAAAAGCCAATCAGACCGTATGGCACGACCTGGACCCAGACGGTGATGTCGGCGTTGCAGTCCTTGCGTGTCTTGCTGAGAGCGTTGATGTTATCTCCACATGGGGACATCTTGTAGATGTAATGCTGGGTAACACAAGCGGACACCATAGCGAATGAACTAAGCGCAAATCCAGCTGTGATCTTCTTGATAGGCGAGAAAACAATGCCTGCCTTCTGTAGACCGGGGTAGATGACGAAGTCCATAATTGGAATCAGAATGATGATGAACAGGGGGTTCAGCTTTGAGATGATGTCGTTTGGGACGTTACCCAAATTCATCGTGTTTGCCTGAGAAACAAGGTTGCCCGTCATCTGATTGTACGACAACCAGTACAGCGGAAACCAGACGAAAACCTTGCAAGCAAGAATTCCTCTCTTTACTTCATCAACCCAGGCATCGTCAAAAGTCATCCAATCTGGGACGGGTTGATTGTTGCGGCGAAGAACGGATGGTTTGATCCTCTCCCAGAAACCATCATCCTTGAACGTGTTCTTGCGAGGAGAGCTCTTGATGCCGAATCTGATAAGCTTGAAGGCTTTGCCCATGACGGATCCGGTAGGTGGCGCGAGCTTGTAGTGCTTCTTCATCGCGATTAGGATAATTGGGCAAAGGAGGTAGCAGATTGTGGGAAGTGTGTACGCCCTGTAGTTATCGTTAGTGGATGTATAATGAGTTACAAAGAAGAGGGAACGTACAGGTAGAAAGAGTGGAAGTGCTCTGTGTAGACCATGGCAATGGATCCGGTGATAGAACCACAGTTGATGAGGAAGTAAAAATAGAGATAAATGCGTGCCGAAGTAACTGCAGGGCAGACAATTTCTTTCTGTCCGTTCTTGCGAACGCGGACATAAGC